CTCGACCAAGTGGATGCCATGTTCGGTCGTCAAACCAATCCCAGAAATCGTAAAAACCATTCGATACTAGGTATTTTGTAGCTCTGAAGTTGAACCAAGGATCAACTAAATGTAAGTTAGTTTCCGGGCATTCATTGAGGGTAGATCTGGAGAAAAGAGTGCTCCGTCCATTGAGGGGTTCGTTGGGCACTAACATTCGTGAATTATACTCTCGAAACCTATACATAATGACATTAGTGTTTGTTTCACAGCTTGGGAATTGGCAGAAAGTATAACGAAAGCGTTGTGTCCTTCAATGCCATGAAGAATGCAAAATGCCTAGAGCATTGTGTGTGAAGCTTGAGGTACTTACGAATCACAGAAAACAGTCGACTGGCGATTGCAGCGCCAGCAATTAAGCAAAGAATTACAATTCTTAAAACCCCACGAGAATTCTTTCCCGTACTCCCTTGGAAGAACGGTTCCTGAGTTTTGGCAACCATGTTGATGGCAGCTATGGTGAAAAGGAAAGTTGTCGCTGGTTGAAAGTTTCTCTGGATTAACACATATCTGTTCGCAATGCCGCACTTTCAGAGCTCCGCGTCAGTTCACAGGGATTAAGTTCATGACCCGCCGCACTAGTTTGAGCATCACGTGAACAGGTCAACACATCAATGGCTTATTCTCTGTTTGTGATGTGTACCAAATGTAGGATGCTTATCTCAATATCTCAAGAAGCTGGAATGTTTAAGTGATGATGTTTTGGGGCGCGAAAGAATTTTATACGGCTCTGATTTGAAGGGACGAATGCATTCCTTGCTTTATTATCTGATCCAGTCATTGTCAAGCGAAGCAATGCGAAGGATTTATGCTCTATAGTAAAAAGCTGAGGTGTAATTATTTCCTCTATAATTTCTTGTAGGTAAAGCGATTATATATGTTCCTGGCTGGTTTGGCCTGTCGACGAGAAAAATGATTACCTCAATATACTCATTCCATGTGAACTAAAGGAAGTTTGGGAAATCTTTCATGATCCAAATTCGGAACATTCGACGTGTACTTCCTTCTTCTGTGGTCCTCGTAGGTGAAAATTGGGTCTCCAACAACAGAAGCTCCCAGCTGTATTGGTCGTCTATAGTACAATGTACAAGAAGTATCACCTAAGTGATGTCTAAAGGCTTTTGTGTGTTTGCTCAAACCCTAGAAACCCTCTCCAAACATCGCCGGAGCCCATACCAACTACCACGAATGGTCTCATTCAGCGATGCCCCTCTATCATTACCCATAATTAAAACCCCCATCCCACGAATGCCCCTAGTTCTCTGCTGCTAGAACCTTCAAGTATGCCTCGAGATCGAAATTCTTGTCCATAGGGTCCCGTATAACTGTTTTTGAATGTCAGTAATGCTTTATCCAAGAAATTCGGTTCGAAGTATCAAAATGGACTCAGAAATCCTCATTCTGTTGCGGATTTGGACAGGTGTAAATGTGGTAGAGATTGATATCTGTTAAAACTTCACGTACTGTCACCACCTCCGGTTTTCTGGCTCGCAGGCAAGTTCTTCTTTGCGTACTCTGCTCTCGCTTGCTCAATCAACTTTTGCTTGTGCTCGAATTCCCTGCTTGCTGCTGCTGCTTTGGTTGCAGAAGATATGCTCATTTGATGGTAGAATCCGTAGAATACACCCGCACCAAGGGCTGACCACCGCAGAACCTGTAGAAAAATCTATATTAGCACTTTCTTTCACCAATAAGCCTGCGAAGAATAAATTTCAACTTGAAATGAAGTCCCCGGGTTAAGGATTGCGCGAAATCTTAAAACGTACGTTTACCCCAGTTGAAGCCATCGGGAATAGTTGTAGGAAATGCCGGGGATGATATGATGAGAAGGGTAGTGGCTTAAGAAATACCAATTGAACTCGGTATCACAACGAAAGGCAGGTAGGGTGATTGTTGTCGGCGATAAACTTTTTCAAGGTGGTCGGATGAAATATCGCGAGAGAGCAAGCTTCAGCGGCATTTTGCGGGACTAGACTTCCACGTGATATCTAAATTACAATAATGCGCATTCAACAAACGCGACTTCTGTTATGCGTGTCTACTTGTATTTATGAACTGTAATAACACAACTTCATATTTGGATTCATACATTTGCTGGAATACTCAGCCACCATCTGCGAACTTCAGGATTCTTCAACAACACGATATTGCGGTAAAATAAAGGTATTTGCCCATGAGATGGGCATAGAACTCCCGCAAAATGCAACAACGACGAGATGAAATTCTGGCGAAGAAAGCCAAACTTGCAGAGTTAAAGAGGCAAAGAGAACTTCGTGCGAGAGAAGTCTCCGTAAGCAGACAGAGCGTAGGAAGTGGAAGTGATGTAATTAAACTTACCCTCATACATGAATTAAACTTACAAGCTATAGCTTGCATCACCGACACCAGGACGAGCCGATAATCGAAGGGAACTTGACAATCTAATTTCCAGCTTAGTTGGAGATAGTAGACCCGGATCGACTGGCCCTGGCGGAGCAGGATCACCAGCGAGAGGGAGTCGACCAAACAGTGTATTAAGTGCCGGTGAACTAAGTAATGAGCCTTCCGAATCGACCATATCGACTGCCCAAGTCTCGCAGACCCAAACATTATCCATATCGACTCCCCAGTCTCTTTCCACAGTTCCCTTATCTACAGTATATGAATTTCCGCCATCTCCAATCAAGGAGGTATTCTCATACAGTAAAGGGGTACAAACAACGGAAGAATGGGGTACACAAACCTCTAGGCCTCGAGGTTTCGACGATTCGGAAGATGAACTCGACAAACCTCCTGGAGTTCATTCACCAAGCAAACGGCTAAGCAGGAGGGAAAAAAATAGAGAGGAAGAATTAAGGGAGAACATTCGCCGGGAAATTGAGGAAGAGCTGAAGGCAACTCGAGATCTTGTAGATGGCCCTGTAAGACCAGATTCTCAGCATCTGTCAACAGCAAATTTCCCTGCAAGAATTTTGACAAATGAAGAGCTCAATGCTGTGACATCGTCAGAAGACTTTATGGACTTTGTTGAAAGATCAAGTAAGGTTATCGAAAGAGCATTAGACCAGGAATACGATGTACTTGCGGATTACGGGTTAAGTGGCGCAAATGGAGTTGGGGACGACGATGAATACGGTAATACCGGCGGAAGGGGTCGACGGAAGATAAAGGAGGTTGCCCAATTCTACGATGAACGATGGTCAAAGAAGAGGATGATCAGTGCCATCGATTTCTCACCCAAATTTCCCGAGCTCGTTCTTGCAGCATATACAAAGAATCCATCTGCACCACATGATCCTGATGGACTGGTTCAGGTCTGGAATATGCATCTTCACGATAGGCCAGAATTTGTGTTTCATGCACAATCAGACGTTCTCGCCGCAAAATTCTCCCCTTTCCACCCCAATCTGATCATTGGAGGTGCTTACAGTGGTCAAGTTTTACTCTGGGACACAAGAGCAAAATCAGCACCAGTTCAAAAGACGCCTTTGACTGGATCAGGACACACCCACCCAGTCTATTCTGTCGATATCGTAGGAACCCAGAACGCAAATAATATCATATCCTGCTCAACAGACGGTGTTATGTGTGGATGGACTGTAGATATGCTTGCGCAACCACAAGAATTACTTACATTAACAACTCCACCACCCGCAAAAACCGAAGATATGAGCCCAACTTGTATGGCTTTTCCACAAACAGATCCGACATATTTTCTCGTTGGTTCAGAAGAAGGAACTGTATATTCTTGCCATAGATATGATCGAGCAGGTGCCAAGGCAGGTGCTGATCAAAGAGTCACTTACCGTGGTCATGCAGCACCTGTCATGTCTTTGAATTTCCATCCAGCAAAGGGTCCTGTCGATCTTGGCGATCTTGTTCTCACCAGTTCCTTGGATTGGACCGTTAAATTGTGGAAAGTCCGGGCTCCAACTGCGACAGCAACCACTTCTATCTCAGGTGAAGGCCAGGCAGTCGCTCCGTTATTCGATTTTACCCGAGAGGATCTTGTTTATGATGCAGCCTGGTCACCTATTAAACCTGGTGTATTCTCACTCGTTGATGGAGCAGGTAATCTAGAAGTATGGGACATAACCGTCGACACCGAGGTTCCAGTGTCTAAAGTCCAGCCAAGCGGTCGAAAGGGTGGTCGAAGCATTATGTCCAAGAGCTTGAACAAACTCGCTTGGGAAAAAACCGAAGGAAAACGTATCGCAACTGGTGGTATTGACGGTGTGCTTTCAATTTTTGAGGTTGGTCCGGATCTCGGGGGCAAGGATAGTGCCAGAAGTGAGGAATGGGCGAATGTCAAGAAATTGGTGGCCAGAATGGAGTCATCGGTACAAAATGCTCATGATGTGAATGGCATTAACGGGTTGTAATCAAGATTCAGAAGGGGGGGGGCGATACTTGTTGAGGCGATGAGATAGCTGTATTTGATAGATATGGCGTCGTTGCGTTGAATATACCCTAGTTAACAATCAACATGATTGGTTCTTTGTTCTTTTGTTATTCATTTCTATATCAGCTAACTCTCGACTATCTCATATATACGGGAATTAATAACACACCGATACGGATGGCCAAGCAGAATTGGTCCACTTTTACCCCTGTATTATAATCCCACGCTGACATAACCCCTTTGGCAGTATAGCGCAAGGGAAGCTTCCTGTCTTCCTAACTTCAAGATCAACTTCCTTCATGATTAGAAATACAAATTCAGATCGTCTACCTCTTGGCTCTCAATTCTCATCTGCACGGAAGAGGCACATCTTCAAGAAAAACCCACAGTGGGGCTGTGTCACATCTAGATCACGGAGCAAGTCATATTAGGCTCCAGGATTCTGTTACATGACATATTCTCAGCTCATATACCTTGGGATCGAACCCATTGTATGGCTGACCCCTTTGACTCTAATCAATACTATCACTCCCAATGATTTACCAATACATATCATAGATCCCAAAACCCAATTGCAAAGATGGCGCCCACAGCGGCCGATCCAAAAGATCTCAAACTAATCCTCAACCCCGCACGTCGACGAGCCCTCAACATCCTAATCGGATCCATCACAGAACACATGCGCAAAACAATTACAGATTCTTTTTCCAACCCCTCAAATCAATCAAACTCCAATCTCAACAGCAACATTCCAGGACCTAATCCAAATGTCTCTTCCTACCCCAATCCTCACTATTCCAACACCTCCTCGCCCGCTTCAACACCAACTTCGGAAATCGATCTAGAAACAGCCCAACAGCGCCGTCTCGAAGCCCGTCTAAATCAAAACCTTTCAACGCCCAAACTACAAGCTTTGGAAAAGGCAGCTCTGAATTATTTCGATTCTTGGCGTGATTCAATTATCACACAATTAGGCAAAATTTTGAATTCTCCAGATGATCCCCGTGCAGATCAAAAAAAGAAAGAATTTCTCGCTTCGAGACCGCCGCCTCCTTATAGCCCCGCTTCCAATAACGACAACGAGCCTAGCAAAGACATCCTAGCTTTTCAGACTCTCTACCCTCCAATCCCCACCCGTCTAACTACCATTTCCCTTCAAGACCGCATCCATATCGTCTCAAGCCTTCTGATTATTGTTCTCTCCCTCGGAACCTACTCCGCCCATTCCCGCGTTCTCCTCTGCATTCTCACCAGTTCCCTCTCCCTCCCCCCTTCCTTCCTCACCCACGAAGAAATCCAAACCTCGCGTACCCTTCTCCTCGCCTCCAAAGCCGCCCTCAACGCCGACGCCGAAACCGCCGCTCGCGCAACCCAGAATACGTCTTCCCGTCGCTGGAAAGTCGGGCTTGCCTCGGTAGCAGGCGCCGCTTTGATCGGTGTCACGGGCGGGCTTGCGGCTCCTGTAGTTGCTGGTGCTATTGGGGGCTTATGGGCTCAGTTGGTTTGGGAGGCTTGGCGTCTTTTCTGGGCGTTTTTTGTATGAATGGGGCGCTGGTGGGAACGTTTTTTGGAGCGTATGGAGCACGGATGACGGGGGAAATGATGGATAAGTATGCGAGGGAGGTGGAGGATTTTAAGTTTCTGGATGTTAAAGAGGAATGGGGGGAATTTGGGACGAAAGAGGAAGAAGAAGTGGAGAAAAGGAGATTGAGGGTGCTGATTGGAGTTAATGGATGGGTGGGGGAACAGAGGGATATTATTAGGCCGTGGAGAAAATTTGCTGTGAGCGAGGGAGATGAGGACAATGGTCATGGATGTGAAGTTTTTGCGCTGAGGTATGAAACCAATGCATTGGTAGAGTTGGGAAATAGTTTGAAGGATACGGTTGGGAGTTATGCGTGGTCGATGGTTAAAATGGAGATCTTGAAACGGACCGTTTTGGCTACTTTATGGGGGGCATTGTGGCCAGTTTATTTATTGAAGATGGCTACTGGGATTGATAATCCTTTTGCGAGAGCCAAGAGGAGGGCTGAGAAAGCTGGAGAAGTCCTGGCCGATGCGCTTATCAATAGAGCACAAGGAGAACGTCCGGTTATGCTGGTTGGATACTCATTGGGGAGTCGGGTATGTGTCAACTTCTCTTTTCAGTCTCACTGTACTTTCAAGTGATCGAACTAGTCTAGACTTTGGAGAACATGTTTAGAAGACATTTTTCAAAGTTGGCTAATTCTCTCCTCAGGTAATATACTCCTGCCTCCGCTCTCTGGCTGAACGCCACGCCTTCGGTCTCATCGACAGTGTTGTACTAATCGGCTCTCCAATCCCCTCATCGACTCTTTCCCGTAAGTCCCCCTTCTTCTATCCTTATTTCTCCCTCTAACATCTCACCAGTTCTCCCTCTCCGCACGGTCATCTCTGGCCCCCTCTTAAACGTTTACAACCCTTCTGATCTCCTCCTCGCCTTCCTATATCGTTTCACCTCCCTGCAGTACGGAATTTCCGGTCTGCAACCAATTGAGCACATTGAAGGCGTCACTAATATCGACGTGAGTTCTAAACTCAATTCGCATCTAAAATACGAAGAGGTCATTGATAGGATTTTGGGGACCTACGTATTTCCTAGCATGAGTGCTATTGATGGGGAGAAATGGGAGAATGGAGGAAAGGGAGAAGAAGGCATTTCCATGATTGATGGCGAGGGCCCAATCAAGAAAGATGAAATAGAGGAAGAGCTATTGATTGATTTTGGAGAGGTAGCGGAGTTGGAGGCCGATGTTCCATTGCCATCCGGACATTTGGATAGCAAGGATCCCAACATCTCTTCGACTGCTAGTAACTCGTATGATATGGAAGATTTGTTAGGCTCACCAGCAACCCCGACAGAAATAGTCACAAGTACAACAATCAAAAGTATCTCGGATGCTCATTTCGCTTCGCACTCAAACGGCACTATATCACCTAGTAATACCACAAGCACAACTACACTTGCCACACCAAATACCACCACTCCATCCTCGCCATCTCCTTATTATTCATGCTCCGAAGATGAAGGAGGAATTCAGATGGTTGATAATGATGATGATTTAGACATGCATATACAATTGACCGCTCCGGAAACGTTATCTACCTCATCCTTGAATGAGGCCGGAAGAATCGAGAAAGGCATGTCTGGGCTTGTGATAACCGAACGATCTATCGACGATGTGAAACATGAATCTCCCGTAGAGCCGAAGAGCTTGGGCTCTTTGCCCAGAGGAGATAGAAAAAAGGCTGCTGATTTCGGATTGTATTAATAAATGTTTGGATATGGTTTTAGCTTCAGTGAACGGCAAATTATAGCCATGCAAGACTCATAAGTCACGAATCATTAAATTCACATAAGTTCGTTAATTAAAGTTCAAAAATTTCATCGTATTATATCGTGAAGTAGATAGAAACAAAGTTGGTATCGTGCGCTATTTACGCCACATCAAAGTCGCCAAGGGGGTATCCCTTTCTCTCGACATAATCACAAACTCCATGGAACCACAAAGTAGGAATCACAAAATAATCCAACCCTAATCTATACATAAACTCCAGCGCAACATGCATCAAAAGCATAAGCGGGAGCTAGACTCCATTATGAACATCTGGAAGAACGCAGCAATTCAACCACCGACTCTTCCTCATCAGTTCAAGGAAGGTTTGAGGTAGGGGTACCCAGGCCAACTAAATGACGACTCGCACAACGACCAAGAACTGATGTTTTCTATCCAAACAGCAAACTTAGAGGATCTAGCGCGCTTCAAAGCGGCTAGCATACGACCTCAGATCGACAATTAAGTCTGTTTGCGTTGGTAGAGCAGCAAATACGGTTGGTTACCCCCCAAAGCCTTTGCCAGAGTCGTAGCATTGTAATATGAATCGTTGAAGCAACTCCAGCGACCATCGGGTCCACGAGCATCACAGGTGTAATGTCCGTAGTCGAGGCTACCAGAGTGCGAAACAGATGCTACAAGTTCGTACTCCATGGAGTCCTTGCTTCCACTAGGGTCGCGATAAGGACTGAGGTCGAGGGTATGGTCGATCGGAATAGCAAGCTTATCCTTTCTTCCATCATAACCAAACCGTTTAAGCTGGACGAACAAGATATCCGGTGCGTGACTGATCGACTGTACGCGATGAACGTCCCCCGTTACCTTACACTTCTCGCACTTGTAACCTTCAATGGTCTCATCCAAGTACTTGTGCAGGTACGAGGAAACAGAACCACCTCGGATACGCGGCTTGAGGGGTATGGATAAGGCTAGTTCATCTTGTAAGTCTCCCACAGAGATGTTATTACAGTGATCGCATTTGATTCTGCTGCTCAAAACAAGCTGCATTATCGACTGCATACTGGCAACGCTCCTGAACAAACAAGGTCAGTAACATGTTACTCGTAGACGGCCGAAAGGACATTAGACTTACGACGCCTTGATCTGTTCCTCAATCTTTTCCAACATCCAGGTAATTTGCTCATGGGGATCACCTTGACCAGAGGGTCCAGGATACCACCCAAGACGCTTGCACTGAACCTCGAGTTTTCTCAGAATTGGTGTGATATCCTTGGAAGGAACATCAACGGTCCAGTACTTTGAAGAGAGGAGGCTTAGAGAACAGGCCAAACAATCCCTTTTGGGTATGTCACCTAGTAACATTTATTAGCTAATGAACAACAAACCCCCCAAATGGGAAATAGCTTACAAGTTTCCACAGGATGTTGGTCAATCAAGAAATTGAAGAACTTGGGAAGATGTAGAAGTCCTTGTAGAAGACTGTTTCTGTAGCACGCATATCCAGTAACATTGGACAGCCCCCTCTGTGCATTTGATGGCATGCGTGTTGAGTCATTGCGTACTTTCGAGGCCTAAGAATATGAGAATTAGTATAAATAAACAAGTGATGGTTGATGAACATACCAAGTATCTTCGCTTTCTTAGCGAGTCACTGCGTGACTTCTCCAGTTCTTCTTTCGAGAGCTTTGCAGCCGGCTTGGAAGTGGTAGCTTTCTTGGTAACGGCTTTCGAGGCCTTGGCAGCAATTCGTCGTTTCTTTGGGGATTCACTCTGAGCAGCTGTTCTTTCATCCTCATCATCTGGCCGTGATCTCTTTGGAGCGCTAACCTTGACAGTAATCTTTTCGTCTTTAACAACAGGTTGAGGTCTTGATGGGTCAACGCTTTTGATAGTGATCGTGTTGCTCTTTGCCTCGGAAGTTGTTTGCTTAAAAGGATTGAGTTTGGTGGTTATTCCAATTTTATCATCTGAACGTGGTTTGTTTGGTAAGGAGACGGCTGGCTCCGAAGGAGCTAAAACTGCAGATGATGGAGGCGAGGGTAGTGGTATCTTTTGAGTAGCGGGTGATGAAGATGAAGGTAGAGGCGTCCTTGAGATAGCCGAGGCAGCGGATGAAGGGGGTGGAGATGGAGGCAATTTTGAAGAGATAGAAGAAACAGATGAAAGTGTTATGCTGTCAGATCCCTTTACTGGTATAGAAGAAATAGATGGAGAAGTAGACGTCTTTTCGGAATTCTTTGATGGAGATGAGGAGGCAAATGGGTTATCTCGAGGGAAAACAGACGTCAATGAATGAGGAGTAGAAGTAGATGGCTCTACCGACGGAGGAGTATCGATTTTCTTAGGGTGAACAGTAGTTTCAGCTGCTTTCATTGGTGGCGGAGAGACAGATAATTTTCTTGGAGGTGAAACAGACGCCTTTGAACGAGAATTTGACTTTGCTGCGGGATGCGAGCTAGAAGATTTGGTTGATGGTGGTGGAGACACAGACGATTTCGAGCTCGAATTAGAGGAGGATGCTGATCTTGCGGGAGATGACATCTTCCTACTACGCGCCGATCTTCTTCTATAATTCTTCGATTGAGCGAAGTACTGTGCGTACAGCTTGTTTTGACGCGGGTTCTTCATTAGGAATGACCTTGGGTTGTACTTGAATGCCCCCGTATAGTTGTATGCTGGCGTATTTGAAGAATCGAATGATGGAAATAGAGGTGTTTTGTACATCTTCATAACTTTAGTCGCCATTTTGAAGAAAGTCAATCCTCTATTGTCTTCTTGGTCGGGTCGGTGGCCGTAAAACGCGGTCAAATTGTTAGTTTTTTGACAATAGCAAATTTCGACAGTACGTTTATTGTCTTTTCTCCCTCGACGCAAGCGTGTATTGTGAACGACGACAATGCGACTCGATTGGCTAACCAAAGTTCGAAAGGACTCAGTTTCGCTATGAAGTCTACCTTATGCCGGTTATATATCTCTTCTGATATTGTGTTGATGTTCGATATTGTAGGTGAAAGTGAAATGTTTTCAAGTATGAGTTGTATCTTGGTTTCCGCCTCAGCTTCCTCTTAAATTTGTAGTAAAAATCTGTATATATTGTAGAAGAAATTGGAGTTCTCGTTGGAACTTGATCGATGCCTTTAAACCGTTGAGTTTCGAACTGTACATCGAGTCCGGAGCGTGGAATTGTGTATCGTTCGTGGGACAATTGCGATCGTCGTGGTCTGGTTGCGTAGTAGTTTTATCTTGTAGTGTGAGAGGTTTACCATGAAGGATTTTCTGATTGACTTGTCTGCAATGCAATAAGACGTATCGTTGTTGTTGTATTTTCATTCACGCCGGAGTGAGGTGAACGTGTGGTTTGGATTTTAGAAGAGCATAATTTTTTTTCGAAAAAGCATCATCCACCAGTGATCCACATCACATACCCACTGGAGATATCTGTGGATTGAGCGGCCGACTGCTCCGATCATTCCGAGGGCCCGGATAAATTATTTCAACGATTATCTTATCGAGCTTATCTAATCTGGATCTAATCCACTAACCTGACATCCCACCATCTTACTCATCCGACATCTCACATTGGATGTTTACTTCCTTGCTGCAAAGTGCCAAAAGTATATCACACAGTCGCATTCAACCATTTTTCCATTAAAGCCCTTGTCTCAAACAGCAGTGCTTGATCAGAGACAATAAAACCTTAAACTGACCTCTGCATTCTCTTTCGTTACTCATCACCGAGCTTATTCTCAGAGAGAAGAACGATAAAAACTCTGCCCCTCATATACCAAAATTTACCCGGCACATTACACAACCTTCACACCAAAGTCTGATCACGAGATTCGGTATCCCTTTTTCGCCTACAGGGAATATCTATATTACCCATCCTATTGACAAGGCCTTATGCACAATTAAGAAATTGAAACATTGCAAAGGATTCTATAATAGATACGCAGATTGAAGGGAGGGAGTAAACTACCGCTCATCTACCGAATCTATAAATACAAGGACCTACCAAATTACTCCTCACATACCAACCCTTCAATCCAACTCTAGTCACGAGACCAGCCTTCTCACCCCCGAAATCATGACTTCTCCACAACCAGAAGAAACCCACCCCAAAATACCCAAACCCGCCTCAGCACCCGAATCCACACCCATAACCACACCCCCCGCCGCCCCCGAAACCTACGAAGAAACCAACGTTCACGAAGTCTACGAACAAATCGCCTCCCACTTCTCCTCCACCCGCTACAAAGCCTGGCCTATTGTAAAATCCTTCCTCCAAGGTCTCGCACCCGGATCAATAGGTCTCGACGTCGGATGCGGCAACGGCAAATATCTCCTCGTGAACCCCGACGTCTTCATCGTCGGCTCTGATCGCTCTACAAATCTCGCAAAGATAGCTAGTTCCCACCAACCCCATTCGGCAATCGTAGCCGATACTTTAGCATTACCTCATCCAGAAGGTAGTTTTGATTTCGCGATAAGTATAGCGGTCATACATCATTTATCTACCCCAGATCGTCGTCGCGAAGCCGTTCAATCCATCCTCGCTACTCTTTCCCCTTCAGGAAAAGCACTGATCTACGTCTGGGCTCTCGAACAGTCTTCTTCTCGCCGGGGCTGGGACGAAACAAATCCTCAAGATGTGATGGTCCCTTGGGTAATGCGTACCGGCAAAAAAGTCGCGCCAGATGGAAGTATCACGCAACCAGCTTCCGAAAAAACCTTTCAACGCTACTATCACCTGTATCGGGCCGGCGAGCTAGAGGAGGACATCAAGAGCGTAGGCGGCACGGTACTAGAAAGTGGGTATGAGAAGGACAATTGGTGGGCTATCTGCTCTCAAGGAGACTCACTTTTACCCCGAGCATCTGAACCCATAGTATGATATTGCTCGCACGGGATGACCACGGGAGATCAGCAGCAACTCGGGATCTGCCTGAGCCGACATGCTGATTCCTCTCGATCATGCACTGACGCGTCAGGCTGCATATACACATGCAAAAACCATGATCGGCGTCGCTCTGGCCATAGAGAGGGTGGCAGGACCCGAGTCGAGGAAGCGCCTGTGTAGTACAAAAGGGACCTGGAGGTCAATACCCACTTCTTCCAAGGCGGCAGCCGAGAAATAAAGTTCAGCCTGTTAGTATTAATCCATCACGAGAACTTGAACACTGTACCATTACCCACTGGACCTGAAGGCTGTATCCAGAAATGACACCCTATAAACATATTTGTGTAAGATACATCATCATCACATGCATACGTAGTAGACACACAAATCATAAAAGCAATTAGAAGAATATAAAAGGGTTAAGATACAAAAAATCATAATACAATCTAGAAGGTATAGTTTCGAACACCATGCGTGCCTGCAAGCAATGCGTGCTACGCTACCCCATCTCAACCCCATTCCATCCCATTCAATGCAAGTTCCAATTCATAAAGCCCTGATCCAAAGCCAAGGGATATTTTTTCAAAACATCGCGCCATTCCAATATGCAAGGTCCATCCCCATATGCTCACTCTACCCATCCATCCCGTCCATACCCTACTTTACCCTAGAAGAAAAGAAAACAAGTGTAGAAACAGAAATTAACTTTTTCCTCAACGCCAATCGCATTTACACACGTTTCCATCCATCCATCTATCCATCATATCATTGCACATAACAAACTTTCATCAAACATCACGACGACCCTCATTGTCTCCTCCTAATACTATCCCGTGTCCCACCCTCCGGACTTCCCCTTCTCTTCCCATCGTTTCTCTGCCCCAACATGCCAATAGCCGGTAAGAGGGGTCCAGGGCCAGGACTCGGATATCCACTCGAGTAGCCACTCGAATGCGCGGGCATCGACATCGCATAAGCAGGCGTACTATACGGACTCATACCTGTGGTCATTTCCGACAAACTAGGTAGATATCCTCCTCTACCCTGACCCATCATCATGCCACCACCGCCTCCAATAGCCGCCAAGGCCAGGCCATCTGTTGGGCTTGTGGGCGGTACTGATCTAGGTGTGCTTTCTCTTCTGGCGGCGATTGTTCGAGTGGCTCCTACACCTCTTGGATTCGGGTTTCCTTGTGCGGTGCCAGGTCTACTGTATCGAGATCCTCCAGATGCTGAATTCATTGTGCTAGATGTGGATTGACTGTATGAATGACCCCTCGCAGGCGAAGCTCTCGAGCCAGAAGATGGAGCATCGAGAGTTACGCTTGAGAGAGAGAAGGGAACGACACCAGCACGTCTTGCCATGTCGTTTTCGCCGAGTTGCCAGTGCATGGCTTCTGCTGCTCGCCATGGAACTGCCATTTCTTCGGCCACTTTTGACCACATTTCTTGCTTGAATCTAGATAGTCATGTTAATAACATTATTATGAGCTTGATATTTGAAAGAGTAATACCTTTCATAGAGTCTAGCGAGTTTGTTCTTTCGTTCTTCGTCCCATTCACTCCTACGTTCCAGATAATTTTGATAATGTAACCGACAACTAATAGCACTTCGACCCGGTAGCCTCTTAGAGATATCTTCCCATTTCATCCCACTGCCTCTTAGATCAATGATTAGAGCATCTTCATCGGCCGACCATTTACTTTGCTTCTTAGCAGGAGATTCTGATGGATGGGCCCCCATACTTCTTTTTCCGCCGGCTGCAGAGACGGCAGCAGCGTAGTTTGGTATTTCGGGTTGTGTGATTGATGACTGAACGGATGTAGATCTTGTTTGGTTTCTGTCGGGTGGTGATGTGGTCTGGGACTCATTAGAGTCCGGGTCCTTGAGGAGGAGGGAGATATCCACGGTGATGGTGAAGTCCCTGATACCGTCAAGGTCGACGGATGATCTGCGAAGAAGAGGTGCACGGTTTGTTTCTGTGTTGATTTTCGATTTGTAGATCATCAAATTTGACACAAAGACTGGTGATTTGAGGCTTCTATCGAGAATCGGCGCTGTACAATCAAAAAGAGTAGTATGTCGGTCGAAAGATAAAATGCTAAAGAAGATAGAAGTCTTTGATAGATGTGAGTATGTAGTGGCGTGAAACAGACTAGATTATTCTTTAAGACGTGGTAGCTTGTATTGTTCGAGAAAAACTATCTTGAGACGATTTGGACTATTTCTAACGGGAGGACCACGATCCTATTTCAGGCCTTCATGGTAGAGGAAAATGCGTGGCTCGCCAATAATTTGATGGCCATAAACCTGATTGGTAAAGATATATCATTGATGCAGCCAATCGCGGTAGATTGGACGGAAAATGGAAAAGAGCAGAAGCCAACGCCAACGGAAGCATACGTCAAGTTTGTTAACGAGCTTGTTGAAGACAAGGGCATTGTTCGAACTGATCCCCACAGGAAATAACTAGGTTGAATGTTGGACAGTCGGTCGGGAGCATGCGAGATGCGAATAGAGTCCTTAGTGGGGGGGGGTCCAAACCAGGGTATGCTAGTGTGGAGGAAGGCCGGCCACGAATTCATGCATGAACATGAACATGAGCATAGTAATGCTTTTAGAAATGTTGCATTCTAGTGCTTCCATTGTTAAAGTTATGGAAGAACAGTTGAAACCTGGGAGCTGGCGCTTGAAACTGATTTATACTCCTTCAACCCCTCAAAGCTGTTTTAGACACATGTCTGTGCGTAATCGTGATCAAACTTGACTTTGAATGTAATTATCTGCATTTCACCAAATTTTATAATAGAATGAAGGTTTGGAATGCCACAATAATGAAAAGGCTCATGATTTGATATGGATTGCTTGTCGTCGCCTCAATCGGCCAACCACTGTAGATCCAAGATTGACGTCTGAAAAGAAGGAATTGGCGGTCTGGTTTGCAAGGGTAGTATGAGCTTTGCTTCAAGGATTATAATGTATGATCTTCATGGCTTGCAGCGCCTCTAAGTCCTCGATGAACCACGATCTTCCGTGGGGCAAGCAAGCCGAAAAGACCGAAGAAATCTATCAAGCCACACTGAATAAATTTCCCTTTATTTGGATCGTTGGTGGCTGAAAATAAAGCTTACGCGACCGTTTAGGTCGGCTATGCCTCATCCAAAGTCCAAACCCTTGATGCCTAATGAAGAGGAGTCTATTGCGTTGTTCTATTCTGCGTTTGTTTCTGTCGGTAGCCATTACAATGAGCACAATTACATACCAGTCCTTTCCTTCTAGCACACCTCCGGATACCAACATCTGGCGGTGTAAATTCATGTTGTCATGTGAGACGGCGCCATAATCGTGTAGACGGTTTGAGTCAGTAGAGCTTTTTTCAGAACTTTCGGAAACATGGTATCCATGAATACAGCCCAAAGCTTAAATGACTAAATCTCAAATAGCATATACGGCGGGCACTCAAAGCTTTCTGCGGTTCGCCTTCAGCCCTGATAATCCCATCCGGGAGGATTGGGGGCGGTGAATGCCCAGTTCACGCTTTGAGCTATCCGTCTTAGCCTCAAAAAATAGAAACTTGTCAGATCAGACGAGAGTACCAGACAATTCCTGTCGCACGGCCTTGGAAAATAGCGCCTCAAGCACCCTCGCCCAATTGCGTGCATTAGCATGCTAGCAACACTTGACAACAATAGTATAGCTGTGCTGTCATTGTTGATTGCGGTGTCTCAGGTAGGATACATATTCTGCAGATATCCGTCGACATGTAGCTGTGCCCGTTTGTTCCCATTTACAATGGTCATTGTTGTAGGAAAGGAGTATTCTGCATCCATTGAAGCCTGAGTAAGGCGGCTGTCAAATTAGTACATAACTGTTATGTTAATTGCCTCATGCACAAGCATAGGTGGATTTAAGCGTAACTCGGTTTGCTGCCGATGTTATGCCATGAAAGCATGATCTCATCGTGAGTTCTCTAGCCGTCGGTGTAGAATTTCCAAGATGGGAAGCTTAGTAATGCAGCTATCGTGTTTATCGCTCCCTCGTCCCGAATCAAATGTAGTCCGATCATTGTGGGGGTAGATCTTGCGAACCACCAAACCAAAGTCAAAAGTATGTACATAGCTGCGTAGCTTAACTTGGTTTGATAGGTATTCAAAGATGCAAAGATGCAAGTCGCGTGGCACTTCGGTGAGTGGCGTATCCTGTACAGGGCAGGGCTATGGAAAAGAACTCGTCTCAGAAAAGTCCAAACCCATGTTTGTTTGAGCGGTGTAGTATGCTATGCAATCCCAGAGAAGAACAATAGCACTAACTATAGTCATTTCGACAGGAATAATCGCGCCGAGAGGAGTTCGAGGATCACCTCTCATTCAAATTCAATGTAGGGCTTAGAATTATTCATGCTGAGTTCCCGTATCTTTTTTTGAGGTTTGTCCAATGGTGTAGAAGACATTGATACAAGTCAACAAGTCAACAAACCAACAAGCAGACTGCAAACGAAAAGTTAGCCAGCCAATTGGGACAAGAACTGTTAGAGATCTCCTCCTGATCCTCTTTTTTCTTTTGTTATTTTTCATACATCTCATCATGTTTGAGCCTTGCGACAAGACAATCCATAATCCATAATCCACGATCCATAAATGGGTCAGAGACTCAGATACTTCATCCTGCTATACTGTAATAAGTTAAGCCGGCGATCGACTGAAGGTTAACGTCCCTTTGAAACTTCTAAAGCATTGACTTTTTCAATCCATTGGGTGGGGGATCTGAAGAAAGTGCTCACTCTGTGTTGAAAGAATGGGCGATGTATCAATTGCTGAAATGGATTATGGATGAAGCTTCAAAAATAGAGATGTCGTGATAAACATGTTCTAATTTTAGTCATATTTCTCTCTTTCTCAAGGGATGATGATGGTAAATGAAGGAACCAGAGGAAGAAGGAAAAGAAAAAGAAAAAGAACAAATTTTTCCATCACATCGCATTAATTTTGATTGACCGATTGTGATATGCGTGTGATAGAAATAGATAGATAGACATGGTGTTTGATTTGTCTCTGTGTGAAATTCACCAGGTACACCAGGTACACCAAACCAGTATACCAAACCGGTGTCTACTACAGATGGATAGAACAGAATCAACTGATGCTTCCCTCGTGCCTGTCTTGTGTGGTTACAGTTGGTGTATGCATGCAGTACGCCATTGTATGGTCTCATTGGTCTGCTCTCTGCTCTCTGTTCTCTGCTACTCTCTGCTCTATACATACAGTATGAACGTTGACAATACCTTTCGGCAATATGCGTTGACGCTCCTTCCTTATTTCTCGTTCATGTTACATATACTGGTGCTCTGTACCACCACCCAGTATGCCAGTGTCCTAATATGGATTGGAACTTGGAACTTGTCACTTGGAACTTGTCACTTGTCACTTGTCACTTGGAACTTGGCTGACGGATTTCGAAATAACACACCTTATTAATATAATATTAATATTATTCCCCATTCTGTGTGAATCTTCGGGGCTGTGTCACGTGTGGCAACCAGACCAGTTTTTCTATGGGTCGACAACAACAACTTGATGTATCATGGATGAACGCTTCACTCGCTCCTTTTTGACCCATAATCATCCTACTTCTACCAAGAAAAGTACAGTGACACCTCATCTGTCTCCATAACCCAACCTTCAGATTCCCCATCGGGCTCTGCATTGAAATTTGAATCCCCCCATCGAATCTCTCTTATCGGATAATTCATAATTGTATACGAGAAGAGAAGAGAAGAAACGGCAGTTGTCCCTCCCGCCTTCAAAGTTCAAACAGAACCTGGTAACAACAACCTGGCCATCTTACGCCTGGCAAACTGCAGAGATCCGTCAACCGGGATAGATTTCTATTTCAAGAATCATAAGGCATAGAAAAGGGAAAGAAAAAACCAAAACGTCCATACTATTCCATACTATCGCGTGGAACATTTCAAATACACATCCATACCTTCCAACCCTTTATCGATAAGGAAATCCCATTGGATCATCATCCCATTCGCAATTAACATCAACCTTGAGCTTTCTCGCAGATTGATTGATTGTGTAACCGGACCTTTTTCCCTCGTCGCCTTATATCGGAAATTTTCAATCGTCAAAGCCTCATCCGGTACGCCTTACATTCCTTCCAACTTCAACAACCATGAGTGGTATGCAAACAGCAGGGGATATCCCCATGATTGTCAAGTCAGAGAACTCTGGATCAGAGCGTCGCATTACTCCATCTTGGTCCATTGGTCAACTAAAATCAAAACTTGTACCCGTGACCGGCATCCCTTCCTCAGATCAAAAGCTCACTTTGTGGATCAACAATCAACAATCCGTCGACATCCAAGCTCTGGATGAAGAGAATACACAACTGACAAACTTTCCTCTGGCACCACACGCCGTTATTCACGTGAGTTCGGAAAATTCTTTAGCTTCGTAACGCGAAACATGTCGTGGTACTCTAAGACCTTATCGTTCTGCAAGGCTGTCTGTCCACCTCGCTCCCACGGATGTTATTTTCTACTCGATATGAGACTTGATCTTCGGTATCGTATCCATACTAGACAAGGTTTTCATTTCAACATCATATGATAGTTCATGCCGATGTTTACCGGGTTGCCCCAATAGTTCATTCCATGATACTTGGGCCATTGAGATGATGAATCTTAAATTATAGTCTACTCAACTCGCTGATGTTGCTTTGTGTGGATTAGTTTCCTGCCCTACAGCTAGGCCAAGTGTTCCATGTTGCTTAGAGTGGAGTGTTTTGTCACGGACACGACAAGTTTTGTTCGTTGTCCATGAACTATTTGCCGCAGTCTGAGCTCCATCAAGTGGATATATTATTGCATTATCGTTAGTCTCACTCTGAGTCACGGTGTGCTGTATTCCAAAACTTAACAGGCACCTGATACTTGCAAGCACAAACCTACTGTTCTCCATTGTTAAGTTTGGCAATCATCTTTGGAGGACACGTATCATTTTATGTCTTTCCCACCGGGTTCTCCCAACAAATTTATGTAGCGATACTTCCGCCAATTAGGCTTGGCTATTTATCAACATGCTAACACAACTCTTCCCAGGTAACTGATACCCGCGCCCCTGGTCTCCGTGAGAATTATACCGATGTCTCTGCAGTCGAGAAATACACCCTTCCCGTAGAATCCTACGAGAAACGCACCGACAGTGTTCTTGCGTGGAAAAAGAATGAAAAGCTCGGACGATTCAACCCTGATGCTCCAACTCTCCTTGATGCCAAACTTGCTGTCTACGATAATGAGATCAAAGCAAAGGGCATTTCTGTAGGAAAGAGATGTAGAGTCGGAGAAGACGATTCTAGAAGAGGTGAAGTGATGTATGTAGGTGACGTTGCAGAAATCCCTGGTGGGGCAGGAAAATGGATCGGAGTTAAACTAGATGAACCCGTCGGAAAGAATGATGGCAGCATAGCTGGAAAGAGATATTGGGGTAAAGATGGTGATGGAAAATTCGGTGTCTTTGTTAGACCTGAGAGAGTGACAGTGGGAGATTTTCCAGCAATGGATGATTTCGAGGACATGGAGGAAATGTGAGAAAGCATTTGACTCATTTGCACTGGGATTGATCTTTTCGTGGAATCATCCCTTTTAGATACCTTTGAACGAGAGGCGACCTGTATTCGCATAAAATTGAAGTTTACATTCTCTCACTTGGGTATAAAATATATCTTCCTATTGATTAAGGTGTACATTGCATGTTATTTTGAACCTGCCGTATACAAACCTCTTTTTCATCCTTTATGCTTTTCAATCCTCCCCCTTGACTCCCCAATCCACTCCGGGGAAAAGACGAATACAACAAATAATATACATTGTTACTATCTAACCATACAAAGCAGCTTGCTCGATACAGGAAATTCCTCGACAACTCTCCAGTAGGTATATAAACCCCCTCCCGCAACGTCCTCCGCACGATGATCACCTCGCAGGCTTAAAACTCATCTATCTCCCATCTTACTAAAGTAAAAACACCTCATGAATAATCAATCACATCTGTTTCTCATTCCTGTGCGTCTCCTGAATCGTCTTGTCGCATTCTCTTTCGTATTGTTAACTTATAATGATAAGGTATTCGTACCGATTTTGGAACTCTAATCACATACACATACATACATATATACATACATGTACACAAACTTACCTATCTCATCATGATTCATCTCCCTTCCTAGCCTAGCCTACTATCATTATGATACTTTTGATTTTGGAGAGTATACTCTCTCTCTCTCTCTCTCTTCGAAGCACTTCTCATGTATTATACCCATCTCGATCAGCACTTTTAGTACTCATCTCTTTACCATTTTGCTCGTTGCGGCTCTCTATCTTTTATTCGTTTGTTGATTTCCATAGGCATCGCATATTGTGTCTACATCCGCAGCTGCTCATTGTAATTTTCTACTTTCTTGGTGCGTGGCTGCGTATTCATTCGTAAATTATCCGTATACTTGCTACTTATATGCCATAAATCCTAATATCCTACTTCATACACATACACATACACGTTCACCTGCATCTCACCTACAAATTCTCCACCGAACAGAACTGAAAAGGATTTCCCCTATTCTGTGAAAGAAATCCTTTTTAGTGAAAATCAACCTCAAATCCTAATCCTAGTATCCTGAGAGTAGCTCACCAAATTGTATTATGTATAAATCAATCGAGTCTTATCATAATTTGCAAGAGCAGCGTTTGAGACTTCGACGTGTTGGTAGGGTCTCGGTGACGTCGAGGATACTGCTGGATAATGGAGGCTGAGATAGATTGGTTGATGTGAATTTTTTTTTTGAATTTTTGAATTGGTTGATTTTGTGATTGCTTTTCAGCGTCCTTCTCGCATCTCTTTCAAAATTCACGTTCTTTTCGCATCCTTTGTTATTCCCTAATAGAACTTCGATTTCTCCATTGCAATTAGTTATGTGTAGGGGAATATTTACATATGAAATTTGAATACGATTATATACAATCCCAATAAAATCTCCAAGTTGAAGTAAGAAATGAGAAGATTCACATAAAAGTCATCATATTATCCCTCACCGCGCTCTCCTCCCGCCCTCTTTTCCCAACCTCCCCTCCCCATTCCTCCATTCCCATTTAAGTGGACCGATCCACCCTCCCAAGGTCGCCGCCCCCCCTTCTCCAACGTCCTCTTTAATTCTCACCTCCTCTTCTTCCTCTCTATCACTCTCTCCCGCATCAATTCCCACGCTTCTATCGTAGTCCCTCTACCCCACACTTGTACACTTTCTGTCTCTTCCCATTATTAAATACCCCTCCCTCACTCCTGCCTCTTGATCTCCTCCAGAATTCTCATTGGACTAGCCCCTTCTTAGACCAAGTCATCTAACATCAATTTTCATCCCAAATTCTGCTTCTGTTTCTTTCCTCTTTCCTATCTACTCTTGTAAAACACCCGAAGAACTAGTTGGATTTCAAGGATTACTCATGTCGATGTAATCTGGAGAGCAGGTTGTAGAATTGGGAGATGTGTAATTTGACTGGTCGATTTCTTGCGCCGCTTCGATTCGGCCGGCTCGTCATACTAATCCGGCTTTGCGAATTTGAGGGCTTTCTCCGAAGATCTCGTAGCGGCGTATGGTGATGGTGGTTTCGGGGGCAGGCGACCCATTGACATGCGTGTCTAGATGATCTATTTGTATTTACTTTCCCAGATGGGGATTCGTTTGCAAATTCTGAATACGCTCGGTAGGACAAAATTATCTTTGCCTCTGGTAACAAGTCGACCATTTTATCTTTCTTATACTTTCGTGAAGTATTAATGTCTTCTCCGCTTATGTGATCTTTATTTCCTTTATTCAAAGTCTCCCCATTGCCCCCTTTTCAATCCGCACTAGCGAATGTATTTCTTGTCGGCCTCTTCGCGTTTCCCCATCCAATATCAACTGATTTTGCCGGGCCATACTCACGCCTCTCCGTAGGGAGACGAGATATTTGGAGGAAGAGGCCTCTGGTTCTATGTTATGGAAGACCAACTTGGAGAAGCCCGAGTGGAGAGATGTGGGGATTGGTAAGCATTGGTATTAGGTACTTAGAGCTGTAGAATATCAACCATGAGTCGGAAGGAAGAAGCGACAGTGGGATTGTGATACCTACCAATGTTGAATGGTTAAATTGGGCATGTGCACACCAATTGTTTTGGAATCCGGATGTGTTTGTGTTGTCCTGTCGGACTTCTTGATATAGTAGCTCCGATGATATTGCACACAGCGGAGTTAATATACCTAGGTGGCGGACGTGGCGGGGTAATAAATGTTTATAAACACCTGCATTGTGCCAGAATTGCCTTGTACGTCATTACCCATCATTTACTTCTTAAGCTCATTCACCCCAGATTTCAGTTGAATTTCTAATTCATCAACAATTCCCTATTTGTTTATACACCTGTCTTCTTCATCGCCCCGTGAACATAATCAATACAAACAACACCATGGCATCCAAACCATACGAAGTAAAATGGGGCATCTTAGCCACCGGCGGCATCGCAACCAGTACCTTCCCTTCCCCCAATCTCCAAACAACCTCAAACTAACCACCCCCAGCCTTCTGCAAAGACATTCTTTGCAACCCGGCCACGCGCGACGTCCACGACGTCAAGCACATCATCATCGCCGTGGCCTCCTCCTCCTCCGCCTCCCGCGCTGAAACATTTCTGAAAGAAATCAACGCGCCGCCCGGTATCAAAGCCTACGGTTCCTATCATGAGCTCGTCGCCGATCCCAACATCGACGTCATCTACATCGCCACTCCGCATTCCCATCATTTCCAAAACGCCATGTTAGCCCTGCACGCAAACAAACACGTCCTGTGCGAAAAAGCTCTCACGGTGAATTCCTCGCAAGCGCGTAAACTGTTCGAGACAGCTAAAGAGCGCAATCTATTTTTTATGGAAGCGGTCTGGACCCGCTATTTCCCGCTGAGTATTCAAATCCGGGAGTTGGTACGAAATAAAGAAATCGGAGAGGTGCATCGCGTGTTTGCAGATCTCTCGATCGCAGAGGCAAATGAAGATGGCACTCTTACTTTTCCCCCTGAGAACCGCATGGTGAATCCTGATTTGGCGGGCGGCGCGCTGCTTGATCTGGGTATCTATGCTATCACATGGGTTTTCCAAATTCTGTACCACTGTCAATCCTGTCCCTCTATCGAGCGCGAAGTACCCTCTGTTCTCGCCGCCGTGCAGAAATACGACAAGACAGGCGTGGATGAACAAACCAGTATTATTTTTCAGTTTCCTAAGAATAAGAGTATGGGGATCGCGACTACGGGGATGAGAGTGGCGACGCAACCCGATGCGCACGGGGAGGCGAGTAAAGATGAAGCTCCGACGATTAAAATCCAGGGCACCAAGGGAGAAATCCAAGTTTTTGGTCCTGCGTATAGACCGTTGCGATACAAGGTTTTGAAGAATGCGAATGAGGCGGGAGATTTCAAAGCGGTGGATTGTGAGATCCCGCAGGATCCGGAGAGGGGGAATTGGGGACATGGGATGGCGTGGGAGGCGGATGAGGTGGGTAGGTGTTTGAGGGATGGGAAGAAGGAGAGTGAGGGATTGGATTGGAGGGAGAGTGAGGCTATCATGAGGGTCATGGATGAGGTTCGAAGACAGGGAGACTTGAAATATAGTGAGGAGATTGAGTCGGATGTTTTTCATGAGAATAGTGCGTTGAATGGGAAAGCTTGATTTACAAATATCAGCGCTAGTATTAGATATTAAAATTCGTCACGAAGAATATGGAGATTGGTGATTATATCGCTTAAACCTTACAAAATCCCGTCTATGATTCTTGATTACCTTAAATGAGAATCGTGTCATACTCTACTAAAACGTTATACTATCATACAATGCGATATCTTTCATGCCCAAGATACTGGTACCAAATTGGATAAAGGAGTTCTCATTACCCGCCACCCTTACCTTGAATGAAAGCACAAAAATCCATATCCCACCCAGCTAATCCTGAACAGTGAGATTCGTTGAATGAAATAAACAATATTGTACCACTGATGCGAAATACATGATTCTGATGAACGGGCACGCATTGATATCGTGTAATTAGTGAAATTATGATACAAATTGTAGACTAAGTCTGTAAATCAAGAAGAATGGAGATGATTATAAGTTCAAATTGCGAAGAAATCCGCATGGAAGATAGAGAAATAAGAATAGAAAGGAAGGAACTTGAAAAGGAAATAGAGGAACTAAGAGGCTTGAACAGAGGGAAATAGAGAAGAAGACAATAGAAAAAAAAATCCAGCGAACACGCACTCTAGGAAACCTCACTAAGCAGTGCAGTATAAACCTTTGAGCTGTTTGCTACTTCATCACTCAGAACAATCACCAAGAGAGGCAAACAAGATGTTTCGAGACCCATTTTCGAACTTCGGAAAGAACATTGAGTTTTTCCCCTATCAGCCCCAGCCAATGGACCACCTATATAGAAAAATGATGAAATCTGCCTCTTCCATATTAAAATGAGCATCGCCGAAACAAAACAAGCACTGAAGGGTTGGCGTAAAGAAGAACCACTTAGCACGAGTCGCACGTTTTCAATTCATTCTTTCTGGTCTTTTGTTCAGTTGACTTGGTACGCTTTGATGTGTAGCAGGCAAGTACCAATTACCTGCAGGCATGATGAATGACCAAAGGTCAGCATTTCATGCTTGGACCGCACCGAGGGCCATCTCTTAATATTGAATTGTGTAAGAATCTTGATTACGTGTACTCAAGGACAGCCAAATTACGAAAGCCTTTACCGCCGTACAAAGAATATCAAATGAGGCATCCTTGAGTGAATCTCACGATCTCTATCCACCTCGACAGAAACCGGGCGGGCGCGGTCACAACCCGCAAGGACAGGCATACTATATAAGCGTCAATACAAACAAGAACAACTTGGTAGAGTGGTTAAGGAGTGCAACTCGACTTCTTCCCTCAGAAGCCCGTCCTGAGCCGTGGCACTCGAAGATAATACCCCTCGGTATGCTGCCACAATGTGAGACATGCATGTGTGAATGTAGCCAAAAAATAAGGCAATAAAAACAATATAATAGATAGCTTAGAGTTAGATGATTGGTGGATGGTTGACGGAGAGTTGGAAGGTGATGGATGGATGGGTGTTGGATATATCCAAAAACAGAATAAAAAAGAAGTAAGAACGTAATCTCAAGGTCTCAATTCAATGTCTACCTTGAGAAGTTCAGACCTTCTAGCATAGTTATTTTTTTGTTCCGTTGTCGTCGGTGAGTTCAAAAGTGGGTAACGTCAAGAACAGGTAAGTTTTACGAACGACAACGTCGCGAAACATGTTCATTTTCCCAAATACTTACGCCTGAATTTTTGTTGTTATATTCATTGAGGGTTTGAAGTTTGAAGTCTTTCGTTTTTGAACTCTCGCTAGTATGATGTGTTTGAGAGGGTTTGATAGGGTTTGATCTGGGTGTTTATCGAGATATTTTCGAGTGTTTTGACAATCGAAAGCGAATGCGCGACGACGACCCATCCGACTCCATCTTTATCCATCATGCAGGAGTATTCTTCCGATAAACATACTCGAGAGTCATGATAGTGTTTGGAAAATGCGCTTTCGAAACAAACCCGATTGATATCGACATACCGACATTTGATCTTTCTTGGAGTCTCATGCTATGTATACCTCTCACTAGAGACAATAACCTTATGCGAATAAGGCATTACAAAAAAAGATCTGAGCAGCGATATGCGAATCAAAAATAGAAAGAAACATGTACGTGTAGCTAATTATTGACAGCAAGACAACCTCACTACTGGAACAATCTCGAAACTTCAACATATGGCAAGATGTCTAGGGCACGTGACCTCACTCACCTGGATTCGCGGAGATAGAGTTTGCGCTACCCCAGACCGACTTTCATTGAAAGGCTCGTGCCGCATGCATGCGGCACGTAATGTGTCAATCAAGGCAAGAACACCGAGCTCTAGAAGGTTTGGGAGGCGACGAGCCAAAAAATTAGACAAGGAATTAAAGAAACGTAAGTGAGAAAAAAGCCAAAACACCAAGCCTGTTGGCAACGACGAGGCTGAGAACAAATTTAAAGTAGATCAAGTAAGCCAAGCCTTGAGCTTTGATTTACCAAGTCTTCACCAAGCTTTCATGTGATTTGATAGCCGACAAGAGCTGAGAAAGACGATTCTTCCGGGAAATCCGAATAAGAGAGAAAGAGAGATCCGGATGAGGCGAGAAGTGATGTGCCAGAAGTACTACTTGAGGTTTTTTTTTTTTTTTTTTTTTTTTTTGGAGTGTGACGTACGATTAGACGGCGAAGAGGGGGCTGAGCGAAATTCACATAAAAAGAAGGTTTGTAGAACACGGCTGTGTTCTAGAATTGGGCCCTGAGGAGAGAGATGAAGAAGAACTATTGATAATTAATGATTTCCCCAAGACCTCCAAGACAAAGGAGAGGGTGGCAATTAGCGACATCATTGGATACAGCAATTAAACGACACGACCTAAACTTCTTGAGTAGCTTGGCTTTAGCTGGGCTTTTCTTGATTAATGATTGAGAAAGAAATGATTTCTGTTCATCATCATTCAATTAATGCATAATGTTTGGTGTTTGGAGTGCAAATACGAATATATAAAAAGGAGAATATGAGTTTCATCGTAATAACCGACCCTAGTCAATTATGATTGAAGGGAAGGGAAGGGAAGGGAAGGGAAGGGAAGGAAAGACAAGGCAAGGAAGGCAAGCTGTGTGGAGTATGGCTATGTCTATGATGAAGTGATGAAGTGATGAAGTGATGATGATTATATCTAGAGAGAAAGAAAGCCATCTACCCAGTACCTACCAAGGAGTTTTCTCACACGTAGACGGAATTTGACAGATACCGTAGATCCACCATTAACATCAATATCAATACGACATGAATGATTATGTAATGAGGATGATTTGTATTTGTATTCATTATTATTATTATTTTTTCTTTGTCCCACACCCACACCCACACCCACACCCACAATCTCTCCAGATTCTTTGAAATCTTGATAAAGCTTGATATGAATGGCTACTACCTGGGTAGATAATCACACCGGCAGTCTTCATCCGTGGCAATTGTCACGCAGGTTCCAATTATCATTGGTAGGTGTGAGAAGTTGTAATGTACCGTACGCAGTCTGCATCGTGGTGGGCTGGGCTGTATGTAATCATCGACAAGACCCTTTGGAATCATTAAGAACCCCCTAGGTATTTATTTAGTATTCGTGTTCGTTAGTTAGTATTTGGTCTTCTATTCGCTCTTCCATTCGCTCTTCCACTCGCACTCCTTCTCTCCCTCTCCGCATTCTTGAAGTTTTCCGTTTTCCGTTTTCCGTTTCCCGTTTTCCTTACATGTTAAAGGTTGAAGCGACCTACCTACGTACTTTACATGTCTTGTTACTGTTACAGCACAAACTATAATTTATCGTTATCCCCCACACTTATCATTCTCTTTTTTCTCTCTTTCCTTATCTCCCTCCCACTCTTCCCTCAACCCCGTCACCCAAAGTGTTTGCGACAAAGACAAAAGGAACAGAAAAATCCTTCCATATCATAAATCAAAGCCGCAGAGTGATCGATGATCGATCCCTCAACATCCGAACTATATCCATCCTACAGTTTCAACGCACGGAGATCCATTCTGCCGACATCCAACCCACACTAATCCAATTAAAGTTTGACTATCGCCCTCTCCAAAACAGCTCCAAGCCAAGAAGAGAGTTTCACTTCAACTTTTGTAGTAGTGGGAATGCACCCTCGATAAAACTACAAAGTATTTGGTCCTCTTAAATTAATGGATATGTGAAATTCAATTGAGCGATTGCTATTTGTTTACCACTTTCCGTTGATTTTTCTCTTGTCCTCTATTGTCTCTTCCTTTCCTCAACTACATCATCTCAATCATGCTTCTGCCAGATAAGGGAGGGAATGTGGCGAAAGGCCTTGCGATCCTCCTACTCTTCGTCGCTGTGGTTGCTGGTCAAACTTCCACCGCTTCCTTCTCGCCCTCGAATGATACTTTACCATCTAACATGACGAACCCGGATTTTGAATTGTCTTTGACGTCTGGGAATAGCGATCTCTTGATCAGGAATATGTACAATATTGCCCCGCTCACTGCTCAGGCGGGAATAGGACAGAGTGAGACTGCTGTAAATGTAAGAAATGCGTTCCTGATTACATTGTATATGTATAATATGAGGCAGAATACTAATATTGTATGGTATAGCAAATCAATATCAACGGAACCATTGTCTTCAGAGATGCGTCAACGGCGAGTAATCTATCCATCACCGATATAGCATATATGAGTTGTGATCCAAACGAAAGCTCCAACATCGATTCAACACAAGCTATTATCATCGCAGGAAATGCGCAGCCAAAGGCCATATTATTGTATAGCTTATACTCTCAGGAGTGCAGCATTACCGGCGATTACACTTATGGCTCAATTTACACAATGGTGTCTACCTCCGATTCAATGGCTTTATTTGTTACTTTGAATAATTATTCTAACGGCTCCTTGGTCGCAAGGTTCGTACCCAACCAAAGCTCGTCAGACACTGGTTCGGCATCGCAAACTAGTAACAATGGAGGACCGCCACCAACTACAGCTGTTGCCATGAGCATTCTATACAGTATCACTGGAATTATCACCTTGCTATTCTTGATAATTATAGCCACAGGAGCCATTCGCGCTCACAGGCATCCGGAAAGATATGGGCCACGGAACGCTCCAGGAAGACCAAGGCAAAGTCGAGCAAAGGGTCTTGCACGAGCTATGTTGGAAACTCTACCCATTGTAAAATTCGGGGATCCAGAACCGGGAAAACCAGGGAGTAGTGATATTGAATTGGAGAATGGCAGTATTCACCATGTTCCTGTTACTTCTACAACAGATACCACGGCCCGCGACACATCACAATTTCCGGTTACCGCGGCAGCAACCTCCGAGAAGGGTTTGGGTGCACATCCTGAGTCAGGGGATAACGAAGCATCGGCGGCCACGAAGGAGACCGAGCTTTTACAATGTTCGATCTGTACAGAAGACTTCGCTACCGGTGAAGACGTTCGAGTGCTTCCATGTCATCACAAATATCACCCTGCTTGCATAGACCCTTGGCTATTGAATGTTTCAGGAACTTGTCCATTATGGTAGGCTTGTTTACTTTATAATGTACAAACATATACTAACTTTCACAGTCGTCATGATCTCCGACCCACAGCAACCCATGCTCAATCTGCAGATGATGAACTCCCGCCTCCACTTGATGCAGGTGATGGAGAGGCAGCTAGTCAACACACAGCCGGTACTTCTGAAAACGGAGAGGCCAGCTCCCGCCACCGCGTTTCTCGTCTTGTGCATCTTCGTAATGCTCCTCCTGAAGAGAGTATTGCTACCCTTCGCGAATTCGCACGTGAGCAATCCCAACAAGAAGAGGCTGTACCAAATCAAGACGGAGTTGAAGAACAAGGCAGAAGAGCTAGCCTTGCAGGTCGACTCCGAACCACTCTCCGAATAAGAACACGGGCACAAGCACCCACTGTCCCCGAAACAACAACAACAACATGATATGATCACTAATTCATAGTATTTTTAACGATTCGCATAACGAACGACCTTTTATATTTATATTTTATGACCTTAAATAGTGGCTCTTTAAATCCGACGTTCTACTACAATATTGTGAAAGCAGAGTACATCATATTGAAGCTGATTAGCGTGGACGGATGAATGAATGATGGATGAAATGGTACGAACAATTGGAAAGGATGGATCTGAGTAGATGGAGTTTGGCGTCAATGATTTACCCTTGATTTTCACAAGTACAATCGAGCATGGATTGGGTCTGGTCTACTTTGGGCGGTGTTTTATCAAGTACCTGGGATTTCGGATGGTTGGAGGATATGGAGCGGCGCAGTGGATGGTAAAATCGGGAGTCGCGAAAGCTAGGGGAGACTTTTGTCAGCGACTGCAATATTTTGTTATTGTAATATATTTTGCAGGACCTGCTTTATACGCGAGATGGGCTAGATAAATATTATACTCTATGCCTGTCATAATCGAGTGTCCCGTGTGACGCTAATACTTGACTTTCATACGAACAAGCGTTGGAATGCATGAACTTTGTGTAGTAAACTTCCCCTCTGGAGATGGTAGATTGGAAATTCTCCTAAACCCCGAGGTCTTGCCCATGAAAGGTAACGCAGTACAATGTTGTACACGTGAATCCGCACCTTATTCTCAATCCCTCAACTATCTTCATACTCCTCTTTTCATCTGTTTCACATCCTTCATTCTAGACACTTGCACACTCCCAATAATCCCCCCAAAGAACTCCATTACTTGCTTCCTTGTCGTTCTTCGATATCCCATCCTCCCTCCCCTCTCCTTCCATTCCCTCCACATCTCCCACCCCAACGCAACCAACCCTATGCACAAACTCAAATGTAAAAACACAAAATCAACTCCCCTTTTTCCGCTCAATCCCCTCCGAAAATAAAATCGTATCAGATCAAATCAAATCAATCCCTTCCTGGCCAATTCCACCTTCCTCGCTGCCTCTCCAGCTTTAAACCCTCCTTTCGATATACAGATTGCGTTTCCGTTTGCGAGCTCGAATTTCTCCTCGTAGGTTGGGTGCGCGCAGGGACAGTGGTGTGGGAAGGCGACGCAGGAGAGGGTGCCCGGGCAAAGGTAGGATGCACAGTGGGCTGGGGGAGGGGGAGTTAGTTTTAGAGTTGAGGGGAGGGAGAGGTAGAGAGGAGGAGGGGAAATGGGGAGAGTGATTGGGAGATATATGGAGGATAAGAGAAGGCATCATTACCTCGATCATAATTATCCTGATACCATTGCGAATCACTAGGCACATCTTGTGGTTGACGCTGCTGCTGTTGTTGTCCGTTGAACATTTGCTCGAAGAATTGAAATTGTGCTGACACGCCTATTATTAGGAAGAGGAATGGGAAGAGAGACAATAGTAGTTTGCCCATCTTTGCTGGTGATGAATTCAATGCGGAATGGGAGTGTGATGTTTGAATGGGAATATGGAAATGTAATGATGGGTGATAGATAGCAGATAGTGATAGCTTGATATTGACAGGTGGTAGAAATGTTTACGGGGGACTATAAGACGGTGAAATGACAAAACTGGGGGTTTGGTGGAGGATTTCAATATTTTTGGAATTTCAAACGAGTAAATCACATGAGATGAGAGATTCAAATTCTCTATTCTACTTTTATTAAATTATCTTAGAGTTTTTACCAAATACACAATCTCTCCCTCCCCAATCCCTCAATCCCATCACCGCGCCCCTCACACATCTCGGTCCCCGTAAAAAAAGCATCACCAAACCTCACAAAAATATCCGCACTCCTCACCTCCCAACCCACACATCCAAGATGTTGCTTCAACGCCTGCAGCCTCCATTGCGAGGCGCTATAACCTGCATTGCGCGGACATCATCAGCATCGGCTGCGGAAACGCATCTTTGCGAAGCCCTCACGCATCTCTCGTTCAAGAAATCTTCTTCTCCACTTGCCCCTCTCATTGGCGTTCGTCATGCTTCGCACGCTGCACAAGGAGCTGTCAATAAAGCGAAAGATGGACCGGGTAAGAGATTGGGTGCGAAGAAATCCGGTGGTGCGTATCTCTCTTCTCTCATCTCCAATCCCACACAGATCTAAATCTATCCCCATTCCCATCCCTCCCACTGCGTCCTAACAAAACCCAGAACAATACGTAATCCCCGGCAACATCATATTCCGCCAACGCGGCACCCACTGGTTCCCCGGCGACAATTGCGCGATGGGTCGCGATCATACGATTTATGCTACTCAACCCGGTTATGTGAAATACTATAAAGATCCCGAGCGCCATCCCAAACGCCAATATATCGGCGTGGTATTCAAGCGCGAGCAGGTTCTCCCCTTACCGCGGAACACGGTTAGGAGACGCAGATTAGGAATGGAGGTTGCGAAGATTGAGGAGCCGGAGGTAGAGCAGCCGGTAGCGGTGGAGGTTAGTGTGGAGGGGGCAGAGAAGGAGGGGAAGAAGAAGGAGAAGAAGAAGAAGGAGAGGAAGGGAGAGGAGGGAAGAAATTTGCAGTTGCGACCCGGGTATATGTATCGCGAGGCGAACTGGGAGATTGGAAGGGCGGCCGAGAGAGCGAAGGTTAAGGTGAGGTTGTATAAGCCGGGAGATAGATGGACGGCGTGGAGGAAGGCAAATGCGAGGAAGACGAAGAATGCGGAGAAGAGGGGCTTGTCGAGTAGGAAGAAGAAATAGATGAGAGATGGGAATGAAAATTGAGAGGGGGAGGAATGGGAAAGAAGGCGTGTATGATTATCCATTCATCTGGTCTTGGTATGGGAACTTGAATGGAAGGGCCTGGATCAGGGCGGCCCCAGTTGCGATATTGAGGAAATCCAAAAGAAATGGATGTGTAACTAGGTGATATCCTCACATAAAATTTTACCGTAAACGAACCTGTGGTAGTGATCAAGATCAATCGGTTCAATAATACGAATGCTTCGTATAAGACGTTCTATTTGCCTTTGACGCTTCTACAATCTCTGAGCAGAGCCTTCACGATAAGCAAATTTTACCATTCAATTATCTTTAACCTTCAACTGGGAAACTCGACGTTCACGTGGATTTCAGTGGCAGAATGAATAGCGTTTCCATGTTTCCACTCTCATATACCCACCATTCCTTCACTCAAAAAGTAGATAGAAGTCTCGTGATGCAAACGCCATAACTCACCATAACCATTCACACAATTCAATATATAATATATATTTTAGATTTAGAACGCATGCACTACTAGAACTACAAGCACCTTTGATACAAAGATGCATAAACATATTTGGCGACGACTAATCCCCCAAATTACTTCTACATGCTCCCAATGTGCAAAAACGCCTTTCAAATGCGAATTCTTTTATACAATAATTCCGACCGAGCAACCGACCTACCGACCATCCTATCCATTCCGTTCCATCCAGCCTAAGCCTACCATTTATTACCGCCAAAATCCAACCCAAATTATTCGTTATAAAAATCGTCCATTACAACCGCAAGGCGCCATAAAATGCATACATTTCGTCTCATGTTGATACCGTTTTTCGTCCTTCCCAATCTTTTAATTGATCGTCTCTTTCGTTTCATCTCGAAATTGAGAATATATAGGTAGTATTAGACGCAAGTCCATTCAGCAAAAACGCACCATCTAGCACTTCGATCGGCTAAAACTAGTCCTCTCCATACACCCCTTTCCCCACATTTAATTATCGTCTCCCAAGTTCCCCCATCTCCACCCTCTAAGTTGACACCCCCATTTCTCTCTTCCTTTCGCATTAATCTCAAGATCTTTCCACCAGGTGCTTGAATTGCCAATTTGGCTGGCTTTTTACCAGTTCCTGAACCAGAAGCCGAGGAACTTGTTATAGACATGGCCGAGTTTGGTCGTATAAATGGGATAGGCGAGGTTCTCCCAGGATCTGGAGATCCCGTGGATAGCGAGGAAGGATGCTGACGCACAGCGAACACGAAGGTATTATTGATGGCTAACCGCTGGCATTGTGGTTGGGCGACATAAAGGTCATGGCGTTGCGCATGAGGTGTTGGATGTCGGATCAGAAACTCGTATGGAGGATTGTCGCCAGAGTGAATGATAGGCAATGCAACCGCCAACGGATGTGGAATATCCTTGATGCTATGCATGAGACCACGTTTCCCAGCATAGATTTTAAGAATACCCGACCCTTCATCACCAGGAAGCAGACCCTTGATCGTATATCTTTTTTGACTGCCTACCCATTCGGCTTGTGCCAAAGCAGGCTTCGTTATAATCTCGCCAGTCTCGAATAGATCACCATCAGCATCCCGCTCAAAGGCACGTGCTTCAACCTCCGCTACACACTCAACATCAGGCGGTACAGAAATTTTGATGTGAACAAGCTCGAGATCCTCAATACGTATGAGACTTGTATCATATTCCACCATTTCCATCTCGTTAGTGAAAAATGCGGGGCAAGCACATGGTAGAGCTAGCAGAATTTCATGTGCCATGGGAGGACAGAGATGTTGGTCAACATGCTGCTCAGGTATGTGAGTCCAGCAGATTTCGATTGGCCGAGTCAGAAACCACCAGGGTTCCGCATATTGGCTACTGGCACTAGTATATTGGCTTCTCCGAGGATGAGAAGGACTTGCTAAAGAGCAATCCATTATTCGCCATTCTCCATCAATTACAACTGCGTTCCAGAAATGATTAGGTCGAGGCATTGGGCCCATATCTGGTACTTCACCAGGCGATTTGAGATATCCTCTGATAACTTCTGCATGTATCCCAATAGCTTTACACATATCCATAACTAGAAATGCGACTTCTTCCGAGGAACCGTGTTTGGTCTGAATCACCCTTCTTGAATCGGCAGTGTCGTTATCGAAGCCCTCTTCCCATGTGATCTTTTCGCTAACCCATGTGAATATTGCTCGTAAGCGCTGGATATCGCTTCTATATGGTCGACACACATAGCCTGTGGCTAGGCTCATAGGGTTAGACATGGGTGGAAGGCTATTGATGAATCTGGTGTTCTTGTCAACCAGGCTGAGGTTTACTGCTTGAAAATTGGTTGGCTCAGCAACTGGATTACCATCAACTCCTTCGTCACCATCGCACCCCTCGAGAAGCTCTTCCACAGGGCTTATGGCGGGATAGTCCATCATCTGGCATCTCTCCTTTCTTTCAACTCGCTCAATCTTACTCAAGGAATTCGATCTGTTGATGTCTCGTCGCACCTGAACCCAATCAACTCCCACGGTGCTACCTCCAGGTCCAACATCATTAGTAGAGGGATTAGAGTTCGGTATGTTCCCAAAACCACCACCCCCCATTGACGTAGTCCCCGCTGGAAATGAACTGTGAGCCTGAGCTCGTGGTCTAGAAGATTCACCAACAGCGATACTGCTCCTAGCGCTCGCAGCACCTGTCTTTGCGGACTCGACCATTCTTTTAAAGAATCCGCTTTTCTTGGATTTGGGTGTCATGAGACCACCAAGAGCAGCATTACCATCCGCTGCAGTACCTGGCCAGCCAGTTGGTGACTGCATACGAGAAGGGTCTGAAGCATGACTACTGTGATATGAAATGCCGGTCATTGGCGTCTGAGATCGACCAGTAGTGAAATCAGGTTGGCTGTTATTCATCCCTAGATAATTATCCTTCCGTGAACCAAGCGCACTCTGAGCTCGACCGTACAGCAATTCCCGCTTTCTGGCTAAGCTTCCGGCACTAGTTGAAGAAATGCCACTGGCGGAAGGTCCACTCATGAGACTTTTATCAGTCATTTGAGTACTCGAACTTCCATTGGTAGTTGTGCTGCGAGTACCAGAGGAAGAGGTTGTTGAATCTGTCTTGTCTGTTCTTGTCGTGAAAGTCCTCCCCAGCATGGATTTACCGACTTCATATGCAGATTTTCGGTGGCGAAGCTTGCTTGACTGTGTATTTGTACTCATAGACGATTTTGGTCGGCTCTCATAAGCATATGAACTCGCTTTAGGAGGGGCTGCTGGTCGGGCATCATCATTTGGGGAACGAGGCGTCGAGGAATACATTTTACTTAATCTATTCTCCATTCTTTGAACGTAATTGCTAAGTTGAGGTGGGGGAGTATTTGTAGGTTGGTAAGGTTGCATGTTATTGGCGTAGTTATCAGCACTTGTTGAATTATATTCTTCAGGAATTGCAATAGCTGTATTAGATCTAGGTGCACGCTTTGATGATATGTACGTCTGATCAAATGCCTCAGGAGACCATGGATCGATTGGTGCTTCCGGAATTTCTGACTCTCGAGCTACTCCCATATCTGCCAAAGATAGCATTACATCATCCATTGCACTTCGCAAAGGGGAGGGAGTGCGTCCTGTGCCCGCCGGCGATGGTGGACATGGTGATACTGCCAATGGTATATTATGGGTATTCGAATTGCTTTCATATGTATCTCTAGATGCTTGGGGAGCATAAGTGCTGCGATGAGGCGGTGGAGGTGGCGGTGGAGACGATGTACCCCCTCTGTCAAATTGAGGCGCAGGCGATGGACCTCGAGAATAACTTTGGTAACCAAACGAGGGAGCAGGAGAAGGAGCACGAGATCCATATTGGTTGGGACTAGGGGAGGGCGCACGAGATGCGTAATGGTCAGGAGCGGGAGATGGCCCACGAGATATGTAATGGTCAGGAGCGGGAGATGGCCCACGAGATATGTAATGGTTAGGAGCGGGAGATGGAGCGCGAGATGTGTAGTGATTTGGCGCAGGAGATGGTACACGAGGGTTGTAATAGTTGGGCGCAGGAGAAGGTATACGAGCAGTATAATGGTTAGGCGCAGGCGAAGGTACACGAGATGTATAGTGGTTTGGCGCAGGAGAGGGAGCGCGGGGTGTATAATGGCTTGGGCCTGGAGATGGTGCGCGAGATGTATAATGACTTGGGCCTGGAGAGGGTGCGCGAGATACATGGCTTGGAATTTGAGAAAATGGTGCTGGCGAGCGCATCCGCGACTGATATAGAGGAGGCTGGGGTTGAGGAGAAGGCGCCCTTGCCCCATTATGTCCACCCCTGGCGGCTGGTGATGGTATTCGAGAATTCAAACTCGCAAGACGTTCCTTTTCCCTAGCTTCCGCTCTCTTTAACGCCCCCATATCTGGCGCAGCATAAGCTTGGAATGGTTTTCGCATCGATTTTGTCTTGGGCTTCGTCGGAGCTGTTGGATTTTTGAAAGGGTTTGGACTGGGACTTCGATCCGGCATTGGACTCGATGTTCTACTTGTTGGTCGGAAACTCTCATCCAGCACTTGTACGAAATTCGAAGGAAACAATCCCATGACTCTCTTGTCCCTCCGCAATCGACCCATCCACCATGATCCATCTCCTGCGTTCAAGCATTCTATCAAATCCCCCTCAATGAAGCCCAAGTCGCGTTTTGACTGCGCAATCGTATGGTTAGAGCTTTAGACTGTAGAAAATCGCAATGTATATTGCACTTACCTCTCCGCTGAAGGAATATATGGCTCGGCACCAGCATGGAAAGCGAGTAGGTAAAGTACCCGGGGCTGGCGTCATGGTTGAGGTGTTGCGACTTCTACCGGTGAATCATTGGGGTTGGAATATTCCCAAAGTCCGAGATCAATGCATCTGAGAATCAATGTAGAGATTTTGTGATATAGCAAAAGTAACAAAATGTTCGACTTAAGACAATTTAAAGGATCTTGAATTTTTGCAAATCTTCCCAGTAATATGAATAGGTACATATAATAGCTTTGGTTTGTTGGCACCTCACCATTAGCCCGGCAACGCTGAAATGGCTGAGCTGGGTAAACAAAGAACCTTATCCGATTTCGTTAAGAGACATTGATCACGTTCGATCGTACTTTGTTTACATTTTAATAAAAGAAAAAGGTCTCGGCCGTTTTTAATTTAATATCTATATCAATTTTATTTTCATTTTCATTTTCATTTAAATATTTGAAGTCGATTGATTTTCTCGAGGGAAATACATTTTGTTTTGGTAGGGTACCGCCGATAAGTAGGAAACAACCAGCTGCGATAAAATATCACATCACTCCCAAAATTATGTCAACAACGCAGTACCAAGTTCTCGAGGAACTTGGAAGTGGAAGTTTTGGCGTCGTCTACAAAGCCATTGAAAGAGCAACGGGAGAGATTTGCGCAATTAAATTGATTGATTTAGAGTCGAGTGAAGATGACATACAGGAAATCCAACAAGAGATATCAGTCCTCAGCACCTGCGCCAGTCCATACGTTACTCAGTACAAAGGAAGTTTTCTACGAGGTCATAAATTATGGATTGTCATGGAGTTTCTGGGGGGAGGATCATGTTTGGATTTGGTACGATTATTTTCACTTGGGAAAGTAAATACACTGCTAATTGGAAACAGCTGAAACCTGCTCCATTTCACGAAGCCCATATTGCGATTGTTTGTCGAGAGATCTTATTAGGTCTCGAGTATCTTCATCAAGAGGGAAAGATACATAGAGATATAAAGGCAGCAAACATTTTACTATCGACTGCTGGCAAGGTTAAGCTGGCAGATTTCGGAGTTGCAGCACAGCTCACGAATATCAAATCACAAAGAAATACTTTCGTCGGTACCCCATTCTGGATGGCGCCAGAGGTTATTCAACAAGCAGGATACGATTTCAAAGCAGACATTTGGTCCCTCGGAATCACCGCAATAGAGATGGTTAATGGAGAACCACCACATGCTTCGATACATCCAATGAAGGTTCTATTTCAGATACCTAAAGCACCGGCACCAAGATTAGAAGGTTCGGATTACAGCAAGGACTTTAAAGATTTTGTGGCACAATGTTTGGTCAAGGATTGTGATCGAAGACCTTCAGCAAAGGAATTATTGAAGCATAAATTCATACGCTCCGCAGGAAAAGTTGAGGCTTTGCAGGAGTTAGTGGAGAGAAGACAGGAGTGGGACGGGTCAAGGACTCGACCATCACATCCTAAATTCTATGAGGAAACACTGTAAGTATCGAAGCTATCCGGGCTTGTTTTCATCAACTAACAAATCCAGCAATACAATGACTCCAAAATATGAGCCTGATGGATGGGTCTTTGATACAGTCAAGGCTTCTACGATTACTGTAGCACCATCACGAAAGAATGGAAGCAAGAGAAGAAAGCTTTCTGCCATTCACGCAAATGGCCAGGGTAGTCAAGCTCCTCCTGAGGAGGCTTTCAAGAAATTAGATCTCAAGGATTCACCTTTAGAGTATTCTTCACCTCCGTCACTATCATCTGATAGAGGCACCGTCAGAAGACAACCACCAGCGATGCAGCACTCTTCACCAACCAGGCCACGGGGTAACAGTACACAGAGTCAAACTGGTACAACGAGACGACCTCCACTAGCACCAGACATGAGTTTTGGAAATACTGGTTCAACAGTCCGATTATTCCGCCGAGTATCAAATAACTCAACGTCATCATCTCGACCAAGCAGCCCCGAAGATTCAGCCGACATTCCATCTCGTCAGGGTGATGAAAACAAAGCACTTGTGCAGGTAGCAGAAGCGAATACTAAAGAAGCATACCTTGGCCGACGTGCATATACGAAAGTCGTTGACCCAGTATTCCAAGAAATGCATGCACAAACAGGAGATCAAGCCAAACGACAAGCACTGTCTCGTCTAGCCGATGCTTGGGCTGCCCTTGACGCTGTTGATCCAGAGGGCGAATATCATCTCCTCAAGCTCTTGATAGACAAAGTAGAGCAAGAACCCAAAATCGCCTCACACATGTCTCCAAGCAGAGCTTTGGTCCTTCGAGACGGAACACCTCAAGGGTCTCCCCAAAAAGGCGCAAATGGAAAATTGGTACTAGCGACGAGTAACCCACACCTTAAAGGTCACCGTCGTCGACAATCCAGCGCAATGCCCGAGGTAGATGCAAAGGAAAAATCAAATCTACCAGGTCAAATAGTGCCAGGAATGGAACATACAAAACAACTTGCTGATGTACTATATGCGCGATGGGCAGAAGGATTAGGAAAAAAGTTTCCGGTGGTTTAACGAGATATGTATAAATTGTAAAGTTATTGTATGTAGGTAGGGATAGATGGAATGGAGTAAAACGAATTTGCATTTTTGTAGTAAGGAGGAGAATCAATAGGTAGATACCCAATTTGTACATTTTATCTGGATGGTTCTTCGCGGTTCAATGTGAGAGCGATGCTCTTTGTTTTTTGGTTCGCTGAGGGGTATCTGTGTTTTCGATACCGAGCAAGGAATATATTTGTTTCATAATTCAATATTTTGAATGATCAAAGTAGTTGATTGGCACCTAGGTAACTATTTGTTTGGGCGAATTTCTAGAATTTCGAATGGTTTATCCGGCTCACCAGGAGCTCATTGGAAATATGTAGCATTCGTCCATCTGGCCGTACATCTTCCCACCATCATTACCATCCATCTAAGTACGAAAATCTAAAACAGACCACCAAGACATTTCCCCATTCCAATCCCCATCTTCTTCCAACCTGATCTCATCTCACAAACTCTCTATCTCACATCCCCGTTATCCTATGACTATAATTTTATAGCAGTCTATCTAAAAATTGATGGGGAAAAAGGATCAGAGACTGCATATTGTTTAGGAAATTCAAATCGGTCCAAAGATCCGGATATTTAGAGGTTGAACAAATTAGAACTAGAAGTTCATTTGAATCATTATTCATATACCCTCAATTGTTAGAGCCATAGAACCTCCTTGATACCTTTTGCGGGCCTTTCCAGTGTCTTATCAACGGAGGAGGCTGCAGTGCTACTCGTCTATATCCGTGTAACCAGGTAGCATCTCATGGTAAGAAACTTATCTTATTCAAAACATTTAAATAGCTCATTTTCTCAACATCATCAGCAAGAACCAAAGACGGAAGATTTGATTGGGGACAAGATTTTATTGGAGCTAAAAAGAATGTGAACTTATGAAAAAATAGGAAACATCGAGGTACAGCAGAAAAAAACCTGCATCAAAGGATCCAGACTTTTGATAGAATGAAAAACAGCTTCCTGCCATTATTGCCTAACGACCTCCAAAACCCCCTACCTAAAATAACCAATCTCGTTCAAATACTCCACATTCTTCTTGATCGCCTCCTCTATCTGCTTCTCAAACACAGTATCCAATTCCCTTGGTCTTTTGCTCTTGCCAAAATTACCCTCCTCAGTGATAAGATGAGCTACCGGCCAAAGCGGATGTGCTTCCGTCTTCTTCTCCATATCCTTCTGGATCAACTTTGCCCATTCATTCGAAGTCGTCGGGTGGAGCCGATGTCCCATAGTTTTATTGACAATATCCCAAAATCGTTGCATATCGATTCCGCCAGTTATATCCAATGTACAATTTGAGTTATTTGGAGTATTGACCAAAGCATTGATAGTAGAATTTGCAACGAAATCCGCATGTGCAACAGTCAACCAATCATTTTTGTCTGGAATAGGATATGCACCGACGCTTATTGCGCCAGCTACATATCTCCATAGGAAGTCAGTGGTATTGGCAACTCCTTCCCGGATTGTACCAACGATCAGTCCCGGCTTGACGATAGAGACGTGATTGCCTTTGGCAAAAGATGTGGCTCGCTGAGCAAAGTTTCTTACCATCAGCTCTGAAACGAACTTTGTTTGACTGTAACCATCAAGTCCCTTCAATTTCATGGCGGTCGTATTATCATCCATCTCTCCTTCGAAGTCACGACCTCCGGATACATAGACGAATCTCGGAGGCGAAATAGCCCCTATGATATTCTTCAAAATATCAAAGGTAGATGTGACATTGGCTGCTTTAAGGGTGTGAAAGTCCGCATTCCATTGCACTGAAGCTCCATTGTGGATGATGGCATCGACTGTGCTTAGGTGTTGCCATTGTTCGAAACTCAAACCTAACATGGGTTCAGCTAAGTCTCCCGTCCATATTTCGAGCTTCGTTGCGAAAGTTTCACGCCACCATCTTGCGGATTTAGCTGCTGCTATGATTCGTTGTTTGCCATTCTCATTGGATGAAGAGCGTACATGTACGATAATCTTCTTGACTCCAGGTCTTTCAAGAAGTTCTCGAAGTATCTGAGTGCCTAGAAAACCGCTGGCCCCTGTCAGGAAGACAACTCCAAAGTAATGCTGCATCGAGGCTAATTGTATATCTAGATCGGCAATTTCTTGCATCAAATCAAGACTAGATGCTGACTCTATGGGCTTCTCACCTTCGACCTTGGTCGCAGCCCGAATATATTTTGAAACATCCGAGATTGTGGTCTGATAGTTGATGAGCTTGGGCATAGGTATAGTTATTCCATACGATCGTCTAATGAAAGCTGCAAGGGACATGATCTTGATAGAATCAATTCCAATAGAAGCAAGATTAACATCGCGACCTATGATATCCGAATTGAGGTGAGAAGAAGGCTTCGCAGCAACAAGCTGTGCAATCTTATCGCCAATTTTAAATGCAATATGGCCATTTGATGGTAGTAAAGGTGCTTCGCTGCTCTTGGGGTAACTCTCAGTTTTTTGGATCACAGGAAGACTAGTAAGCCACCTGGTGAGCCTGGGACGATCCAATTTTCCGGAGGTATGAAGTGGTATGGTCTTCATAGCGACCCAAGAAGAAGGAATCATGTAGCTTGGTAGACGATCTAGCAGGTGATTGGCAATTCGAGACCATTTGAATCCGGAAGCTTCAAGTTCCAAATGAGAATCTACCGCAATACCACTAGCTATCTCCGAGTCTGTTGAGGTTTCCAGCTCAATGATGGCCGTAAGCTGATCAGCATATGGCCCATAAGTAGGCAATACAACCATGGCTTTTTTAACTTGTGGATGACTGAGTATGTGATGCTCCACATCAGCAATTTCTATGCGAAGTCCACGAAGTTTGATTCGAGTATCCTTCCGGTCAAGATAGTCAATTATTCTATCAGAATTGTATTGAGCAAGATCACCGGTTTTTTAAAGACGTGTATGACGGTGACTGGAGCCAAAATTACGAGCCCATTTGGGGCTATCGATAGAAACGGCTCTGGTCTTTACCTCGTCGCCAAGATATCCTGAAGCCATGGCGGGTGATTCAATTAGCAGTTCACCAATTGCACCGATTGGTAGAAGACGGGTTGAATCCTCAGTATCAACAATCCAAGTGACTGCGCCTGCTCCACGCCCAATATTTGTAGGAGATGTACTGGGAGAAATATCTGCATTCACTACACTTGTTCTAGAAGACAGTTGGATCAGTATGATTCAACGCTAACTTTCAAGGGGCTAAGACAGAGACATTAATAAGCCTAGAGCGAAAGGAAGGAAAGAACATGGGTTACAACGTCCGACCCAGAATCTCGGCCCACAGGATATTAGACAATGGATGGGATACGTGGTTTTGAGTCTCAACATTAGAATGCTGATCTCCCCAACTATAGGCGGCATAATGTACGCAAAACTTGGATACGGATCATTATATTCATCGTGATGTCTATCCTTATTGCGATCGATATCGTCATGCGTTTGTTTATGATCGAGAAAAAAGTTCCCGCAAGATTAAAGAAAGATAAAACTGTAGCCGAAGCACACACGTACAGGACTTTTCAGCAAAGTGTTGACAATGCCATTTTCGAACAACAAAATTCGTCTACACCTTCCACCAACAACATAGTCTCCGAACCACTGCTTGGGAATAACCAAAATCAAACTCCACCAGCAGACAACAGGAAGTATACAATAGCCTTAGTAACTCTGTTAAAATCCCCACGCATATGGGCTGATTTGTACGGTGTTTGGGTGACTGTATTTCTACTCGCAAGTTTCGATGCAGCTCTCTAAATATTTGTGGAACGAAAGTTCAATTGGGACTCAACTGGTGATGGCTGAATCTTCTTGACTATAACATTTCCCATAATTTTCGCCCCGATAGCTGGTAAACTCTCTGATGTCTGGCCTTCTCGATGGCTCACTGCATCATACTTCGTCATATCTGCTGTCTTCACTGTCTTGCTCGTCTTGATACATAGGAATAGCACTGATCAGATTGCTGGGCTTGCTATCCTTCTTACACTTTATGGTAATTTTGTCCCATTCCAATTATATGATCATTGCTTCTCGCAGTTACTGATATAAATCATAAGCGTCACCAGAGTCTTCGGTTCATCACCATTAGGTGCTGACTTGAGTCGAGCGGTAGCTAGTATGGAAAAGAAGACGCCCGGAATTTTCGGTAAGACGGGAGCTAGCGGTCAAGTTTTCTCCTTATATACCAGTGCTAGTGCAGCGGGAGTTCTTGCCGGCCCTGCTTGGACTAGTTACGCGTTTGGAGAAAGAAGCTGGATATTTTTCGTTTCAAGTCTTGAAATCTTGACTGCAACTGTTGCAATTCCAGTTGTAAGTAGAACAATTGAAACAATAGAGTATCAGCAATGCTAATAGCATCTAGATTCTATTCACAGAGCCCGAAAAATCGGGAAAGAGAGCCGATGTAGAAGTGGCGGCTGCAGAGTAGATATTAAATTCTTCCCCACCTTAAGGTCCCAAATACCACTAAGCTATTCTCTTGGTAGTGTCGACGATAAGAGCATCAGATAAGATAAGATACACTTGCTCAATCAAAGCAAAGTATCAGGAAGAATCCGATAGTTGTTAGAATACACAAACACACACAAAAGTTTCGAATGATCACTAAAAATAGCAAGTATTTCAATGATTAAAGTACTCTAAGACCTCTAATAATCCGAGGTTGAGACCATAAATATTTCAACAGTGACAAAAACATAGTTTATCACATCATCAAATCACGTGGATACGAGATTTCAAGCGACGCGAGATCCTTTTCGCGTTCTAGCCTTTCTTTCTCCTCCCCGATTTTGACCTCACACTTTCCTACTTCCCCAAATGCCTCCATGACCGACCTCCTGGATATTCTCCCCAACTTCCCCACACAAAAACATGTGCGACTCCTACCTTCACTCGAGAAGAATCTCGTCACCGTCGCTGATCTGCTCACTCTCGATTGTGTTGAGATAGCAAAACGTGCGACTTTACCTCTCTTGGACGTCAAAAGATTATGTGCGGATGTACTAGAACATTTAAGAGGAGACCTTGGATTAGGTGAGGTGAATCCTGGAGAGAAGGATGCTGCAGCAGGCGAAAATAATGTAGATGGAAAGGGAGAGGTGAAGAAGTTGAGGAAGTCAGGAAAAGAAGTTGTAGATGAGTGGGAGATTATAAGTACATTGGATGATGACATGGATCGCGCTTTGGGAGGTGGTATTCCAACAGGCTACATTACGGAGGTTACAGGGGAGAGGTATATCTCATTTCCATTGCCCTCTATTCCACTGTTCCTTGTCTGCCTAGTCTTCTAACTAACTCACAATTTCAGCGGCGCAGGCAAAACGCAATTCCTCCTAACACTTCTTCTTTCTGCTCAACTTCCGGCACCCCATGGTCTCGCAGCTCCCACTCTTTACATATCCACCGAATCATCCCTCCCCATAACTCGACTATCCCAACTCTTGCGCACTCACCCTCTTCTTGCTTCTCATCCATCACCACCTTCTCTCGACAGAGTTATCTCAATTTCAACACCTGATCTCGAATCCCAGGATCACATTCTTCGTTTTCAAGTCCCTGTCGCTATCAAACGTCATGGTATTCGATTGCTTATACTGGACAGTGTAGCCGCAAACTACAGAGCTGAATTTGAGAGACCTGGTGTGACGAAGGGAGGTGGAAATATGGCTCAGAGAAGTGCAGAATTGGTCAAATTAGGGCAACTATTGAGGAACCTAGCAAGGGAACACGGAGTGGCTATTGTAGTCGCCAATCAAGTAGCCGATCGATTTACAGGCGGAAGTGGAAGAGCAAGTCCGATGGCCTATGGTCAAAAGAGGGAAAGGGAAAGAGACTTGCAAAGCAGTCCACTTGCGAAAAGGAGTTTAGGCGTAAACGGAGCTATGCCAATACCATCCAGTTCAGTTAATGCTCCCATGTCAAGTATCCCTGGTAGTAGCATTGGCAATCGAATATTATCTCGAGATTATTCCGTCATAACACCAGATCCTATGTCATTGGACCATCAACAACGATGGTTCACAGGCTGGGGCGATGATCCGCACCCTTCTTATACCTCATCCAAGAATGTCAAGACACCTTCACTCGGTTTAATCTGGACCACGCAAATAGCATGTCGAATAGCACTTATCAAGAAACCGGTCTATGGACGAGCAAGAAATGAAATTATGGAGGAAGGAGAGAGAGGCGAACCAGTATTAAAAAGATGGAGACGATGGATGAAAATTGTTTTTGCGGGATGGGCAATGGAAAGTGGAGAGGGATTGAATGGAAGTGTGGAATTTGAGATTAGGGGTGAGGGAATGTTTGCTGTCAAGCATGGAAAGGGTGTTGATGATGATGGGGAGGATATTTTGTAGATACATACTTAGGTATCTAGGTATTGGTGCATCAGATTTCATTCTCATCCGATATGCGAAGTTGGTAGTCGGTAGTCGGTAGTTGGTATATACTATGTATAGATATTATGTATTTTGTTCAAATGCACACAACTAAATAATTAATAGCATAATAATAAGTACATGAGCTCCGAAAAATCAACATTCCCAATTTTTGCAAAACTGCCTAGAGGCCCAGTATCTATCTCTCCTTAAACTTAACAATAGCAACTCCTCCCTCCTCATCTTGATCCGAAAGCCATGATGCCTACCAACATCCAGACTCTCCTCTCTTTACCTTCCTCTACACTTATAATATCATCATCCAAATCCCACTCCTTGCCAAATCCCTACCACCTTCCCAATGCCAAGAACTCTACACCCCAGCAGCGATCACTATATCTCGATATTAAATCTGGATATTAAATCTCGACTCCGTAGATTAAATCCCTACGATAAATGACAACCCCAGAGCAAACCCATTACCTCCGATAAATTAAAATTACACTTAAGAGATCTCCCTTCATCATTCGAACCTCCGAATGGAAAATCCGGGGTATGTTGTAAGTCTTGCTATATATAATACTGTACCATATATCAAACATCCAATACCGAAAGAGGATATTGAATAGCGGATACAAATACACGGTATAGAATCCGAAGCAGGAGGACGAAGTCTAAGATATGGAGATGAGTATACGGTTCCATTAGGGAATGAATTGCATCGCGAAGGGATGTGGATATTCTGTTTTATTTGATTTTGTTTTATTCTGTTGTTAATACACACGATAGATATATTTACACATACCTACCACATACCTAGTAGGTATCACGACCTTAAATTTTCGTTGATGCATTCGTCGATGTATTCATCGACTAACTAATCATCACAATCAAATACCCAATTGGAACATCACAGCACAATCATGCACATCCATTTTCACAGGCATGCAAAGAAGCAACATATTGCTAGGTATCCAAAACGTATTCCATTTCACTCGATTCAAATATCATCGCCATCTAACCACAGCTCCAGTCTGGCAACCCCGACTAATAAGTAACCTAAATGTAAGATAAAGTAAAGTAAAGTATATACAACGAAGATGCGCATATTTTTTCAGTTGTTTTCGATCAGTGTATATTGTATGTAACCCCCTTACTTTTTCCTCCCCATGTATCCATAACCATAACCATATCCATTCCCACCATCCATCCATCCCAATACTCCATCCCCATAACCAATCAATCAATCCATCGTTTCAAAAACCTAAGCAGTCTTGAAAGTGTTTCCCAAAGTACTCAACGCACTTGTGGACGACATCAAACCACCCGCAGCGGTATCAGCCATAAACCACGCATAGCGATCGACCATTGTGCTAGCATCCAACCAAGGAAGAACCTCCTTCATGAACGCATTTTGCTCATCCGTCGAACCCGAGGCTTGGAATTCCGTGATCCACAATGGACGGTTGCCACCCGCCGTGTAGGCATCCTGAACATACTGCTTGAAGTATGCGACGTTGGAAGCCGAATCATACCAATGGATGCAAACGAAATCGATGGTGCAGTCGGAGCACGAAGACAAGAAAGATTTCAACCAGGTGAGTCCCATGGGCGAAGCACCGTTGGTGACGGCGGGAGCACCGAGCTTGGCCTTGCCGGCAAAAGGTTGCATGTAGGTCTTGTAACCGGCTGCGGCGTCGGATGCACCAATGTTGGCTTGGGTGCTGAGATCGGGTTCGTTGAAGGACATGAGATGTGTAGAGCCGGATGCGATGGCGCTCGAGGCAGCGGCAGACCAGGCACCGGTGAAGGTACTCTTCAAGCCCCAGAGGAGAGGAACGAATTCAATACCAGAAGCGGAGAGACCATCGGAAGATGAACCCCAGTTGTAAGCCCAAGCGACTTTGGAAGAACCAGTGAATTGCTTGACGTAATCTGCGGTATTGTATGCAACACCACGCTTTCCACCAGAGGAAGAGCTTGAATAGCTGGATGAAGCAGCTGCAGCAGCAGAGCTAGCTTTCGCCGAAGTAGCGAGGGTAGTTGCTGCTGCTTTGGTAGATGTGGCGGCGGCTTTGGCGCTGGTTTGAACCAAGACTGCAGCTGCAGCTGCTTCAGTGGAAGCCTTAACAACAGCTACTGAAGAAGATGAAGAAGAAGCCTTAGCAGAGCTAGACTCTACAACCACACGACTAGTTGTAGAGCTGGTAGGAACAACCACGGCACTTGTTACTGCTGCTGGAGCTGGAGTAGATGCTACAACGACAACAGAGGAAGAAGCAGCAGAGTGATGTTGAGTGTAAGTTCCTACAGCATGAGCATAACCAGTTGCGTAAGAACCGTCGAGTTGTCTGGTAACAGTAATTTCTTCTGTAACAACTTGAATTTCGGTTTCGTAGATGGGAGCAGCGAATGTTTCTTTGACCAGCAAAGAGGAAGCCAAGATGGCGAGGGATTTGATCTCAAAAGAACGCATGATGTTTTTTTTTTGTTTAAACCGGGTGTATTTCGATTTGTGTTGTGTGTGTGTATTCCTGGAAAGGTAGTTGACAGTGAAGAATCACTTGAACTGTTGTTGACTGGTATTCAAATGACTGAATCGAAGAAAGAATGTGGTCTTGCTAAGCAAACAATCTCGATGAGTGTTTGATTAGAAAAATTGAAAGAGTGTGATGATTCAATCAATGAATGTAAGGAAGAACAAGATGGTCGACTTTACTTTCAATCCAGAGAGGGAGGGTTGTGAGAGTATGACAGGAGAGGTGCGGGAGACTCAAAGTTAATGAAGAACTTTTGAGGTTATTTCTGGTGGTAGGGGTGAATTCGTAAGTGTGGTGTATTCTTGAGATTTCGTCAATATCACGTCAAGTCGTAATGAATAAAATGAATGTATGGAAGGAGTAGGCAGTATTTTTAAAATTGAGGTTGAGGGGTTTGATGATGGAAATCCTGCGCTATCTTTCAAAGATACGAAATGATGAGATGTGCCAGACTGGACGTTGCAAATGAGAGGTAACGTGAGGCTGTGGAAAGGAAAGAAGAAGAAGAAAAGCGAGGGAGGGAGGTGATCCTTATGTCTATATGTAGATTGCCAAGTGAATGGTCAATTGTAACCCACCCTACATGATCCAAGTGAATAATTTTGACAACATCTTTTTGTCTTTCCTTTCTCTTTTCTGAACTAGTTATGTGAGATAAGAAAGCGGGAGGCGAGTTCGAAAACCTAGCCAGTAGTTAGCCGACGAATGGGACGAAGGAGTAGAGAAACATCGTGTGGGATTTTAAACGACAAGGGGGGTGGGAACGGGATGAGGAACGATTTGTGCAAGGGTAAATGATGTTTCTGCACATTGAAAAGTCGAGCCCGAAGTTAGAAGATAGAAAATCAAGCTTAGAAATTCATCCGGTGTTTCTTTTCTTTGGGAATCCACCACATCATTCCTAATATCGCATCCATACACCTCTTTTTGCACATTCAATTGGACCATATTGCATGGTGATACTACCTAGGTGTGATGGACACTTTCTTGAGCTTCTTGATGGATATTGATTGGTGGGGAAAGAATCTAGATACTTTTCATCTAGTCAGGAACGTGTAGACGTGCAGATGTGCAGATGTGCAGGTGGGTGTGCAGGTGTTGACTCTCAGGTACGGAATCCAAGAATAAAAGACCGAGCTTATTGGCGTTCTCAAGAATTATCATCACTAGGCCGCTTTCACATGTAGTCTGACTCCTAACTCGGTGGATGATTAGGTGATTATATATCCAAGATCACTCTGACTGGCTCCTTTCTCTCTCTTCTCTCTTTTCTCCCAAAGCACAAAAGATAGTCAGGTACCGGTGTTTGATGGTTCGACTAGTTGATGTTCGGTTCATCTCAGAGCCATTGTAACTATACAAACCACACATACTACAGAGCGAGAGAGTATCACTACATGGCTCGAGCCTATCAGATAGTCTGTTTATATTGAGATATACTGGGATTTATCTTGATCGCACAAACACTACATGACTTGTTCTCTGCATTGTATTGTTTTCTTTTGCTGCCCATCTTTGCTATCTTTTCTATCGCTTCTCGACCCATCTGATCATTTGCAGAATATCCAGGTATCTAGGTATGCACCATCGGCCACGGATTTCAGTTTCGTCCTTTTCAATAACCCCAGATAATACCATTTCAATCCTTTTTTGATTCACATTCATGGTGGCTGAGCTACCTCGAGCCTCTTTCGTAAGTTGTGAGTTTCACCGATATCTATCCAGCCGCTCCTGCGAAAACATCTTCACATAAGGTCGATATGATGTGAACTTTGTCCGCTCGAGGATCCTCAATATCCTTACCCAAATACCCATACTCCATAGCATCCACTCAGATACTTCGCTCCGCCATCCAGAATCCATCTCATCCATCCAGATTTCAGCGTCAACGCAAAAAAGTCCAAGTTCCCTTCCCTGGTCCATGCTAAATGCTTGTGCACACAATTGATGATTCAGGGGTAACCTATTCCATTAATCTATTCTCCAAAGCTTAACCAAGACATTGTGGACGATCCGATGAATTAGCCTGTTTTATCTCTCCGTTTATCGACCATTTGTGGAAATTGGTGAGGGGGAAAGAAGGGAAGATACGAACACCTGCAGAATTCTTACATGCAGGAAGGCAAATCCAAACAAGACAGCGCATCACGAAACAAATACGTTTTCTGTGCTGCCCTTACATATATACCGTACTCATACCGTACAGCAGAAGTCATGTATGCACTTAGTACCTCTACAACTTAGCATTACAACACACAAACAACAAATCGGACAATTTTGACAATCAAAGGAAATGGGAAAGGGAAAGGAAAAGGAAAAATCGCGCAACCAAAATGGGCCAGGAGACGTAATAATTAGTCTATGGTATCGTATGCGTGTGCGTGTACAAGTGGAGCGTAGAGCATTTTGGCATCTTGCTTTGCCGCGTCGGCGGGCTTGGGTACCTGCTCACGCCGGCAGAACAGAACGGGGCAAAAGGCTACGAATCAAAGTCAAAATACGGACGGAGTAATAAGTGATTGATGCTTTATCCGACCGGACCGGCATCATTAATTCTACCATGTGAGTGTGAGAAAAAGAAACAAGCAAAATCTCGAAATTTCCACAGATACTAGTGCACGAAAACTCTATCTATCAGGAATCTAGACCTCCAGCCCGGTATTTATAAAAACCAGGTACATATAATACATATACTACACAAGAACTAAAAATCTACAATTCATCAAAACTCATCACCAAGAAGAAGTTCCAAGAAACCAAGCCTCAACTCAATCCTCAATCCCTCGCCGTAGCTCTCTCTACATTTTCAAATCCCCAATGCACCCGCACCTTCCCTATCTCAATTCTCAATTCTCAACCACCTTCCTACGAAGTACACGCCGTCTGCACATTTTCTTTTCTCCGATTCTCCCGCTTTTCGTATTCTCCGACCAGATACCAAGCCACCAAGATACGAAGACTCGAGCGCATGGGAGGGAAGGAAAGGTGAGGAATGGTACGCCTTTGAGAAACCTTTGGAACCCTTCGGACGCGCGCATGATACTCCTGTGTGTCTATGTATCTTCACATAGATATATTAATTTATATAGCATTACTATCTTGAATCCGTGAGCTTTTGGTACACGCTCTTTCTTTTTCATGTATCGATATTTCGATATGGATTTCTTTGCATGTGTATATCATTCGAGTGTACTCGAGTGTGCTGGGTAGATAGATGGGTTCAAGACATCGCGTGCATGCAGATCCCGTTGGTTCCTCTACATTTGAATTTTGGATTTTTGCAGGTCGAGTGTCTACTGGTGAGTTACGATCGAATAGATGGATGGGTAGATAGACACATTAACCGGCGACTTTCATGTGATAACCAGCTACTGATCACCAACTTCACCAACTTCACCAACTTCCCCTACTTCCCCTACTTCCCCTACTTCCCCAACCAACTCCCACCATCACAAGAAACACCATACTACCTAGGTATGTAGATCCCAACCCAAATTCCAAATTTCAAAAAAAAAAAAAAAAAAAAAAAAAGGAATCAAAAAAATGAATCAAAACAAAGAAGAAGAAAAAGGATCAAATACAAACCCCGCGTTTCGCTCTCAACAATCCACAATCCGTAATCCACACCCACAATCTATAATCAACCACAACATACATACATACTAGGTAGATTCTTGATCTCTCTCTATCCGGCTACCCAGATGGCCATCTCTCACTCTCCATCTCAATTTCGGCCTATTTCAAAATCCTACCTGCAAATATACACACGCGTAAACTACATCGCAATACTGTATATATGCTCACAGCTATCAATGTAGGTATCTACCTAGATACGTACACGCGCGTGTGTGGTCGACGACCGCGGGGTCTTTTCGCTAATTCTTCATCCATCTATGTTAATCCTTTGGTTTCTTGTGAATGGGATTTGAGTTTGTTGTTTTGATACTTGAGGTTGATGTTTGGGTTAGTGTGGAGGAAATAGATAAGACAGAGATCAGTAGCTAATTAATTATTCTTGTGAATTTATTGATTTGAGGTGAGGGTCTATGGTTATTATTCATCGATTGATTTGTTGTAGAGTACAAATCGAGAAAAGAAACGATAATTAGAGGCGAGGATTCGAGTACTCGTTCATATGTGGAATTGAAAATATATTGGGTACCTAAGTTACTAGATATATAGAATAGATAGATATATACATATCGATTTACATATCAATACCTGTCTACCTACCTGTTTAGCTACCTTTAGATATTTTAATTATATCTAGATAGTTATCTATTTATCAATAAGTATAGGTAAATACTGATACTAGAAAGTACCTACCTAATGTCTACCTAATATCTACCAACTAAATTATGATCAGTAATTATGAGACAGACCCGGCTAGACAAAAAATCTTACTTGGTCCAGTACCCAAGGTTTGCACTATACATACATATCAAGACACGGCCGCTTCCCGAACAGAACACCCCAATTTCAATTTCAAATCTAGACCTCGAATCCATCATGGTGATCAAGAACCAAACATCACTCATCGCCCATCCCCAACCTACCTATCTACCGAGGTCTGTACATACACACACACAACCATCCCACACCCTTTTCCTCGCCCAGGAAATTACCACCTTCCAAAAATCCGCTGAGCCACCTTCCTAACCACCTAACCATCCATCATCGATCCATCCATCCATCCATCCATCAACTCAAACCCAACCCAAACCTCAAACCTCAACCCCAAAATATCAAATCTTTTTAACCCTAATGACACCCAAAAATAGTATATATTTCTCCTCCTCTCCACAATTTACCCAGCAGCTCCCTCGACATACCTACCTAAACTCGCAATGGAGCTTAATGTTGTATTTGTAAGATTCAGATCCAGATCCAGATTTAGATTTAGATCCATCGTCATCCTACACTTAGTACCTAGGTGCCCGAGCAAGTCAGCCAATTAAATCCGGGTAGTCTACAGAGGAACGGTAGTAAATAATTAATTCCGAGATGATGGCTTATGCTTATGCTGAGAAATCATTCGAGGGAGACCCCGAAGGTGGAGATATACCTACCTAGTCTTGTATTTTCTTGTCTGCGAGAGAGCTACTTGGCGAGATTCGTTGACTGCTATTTCGAGTCTTGGGATTTGCTGTCAAGGGTTCGAGAGTCTGAATTCACGCATCTATTGAGATGGATTGAATGGTTGATGCGTAATTAACTAACTGACTATACACAAACGGACTCGATTTAATAGTGATACCAAGTAGATAATTTTCAAATTCTCGTTTGTTCTTAATAAATAAATGTATTTATATCAGAGAAATCATAACAACATTGCAGGACATGAAAACTCAAACTCCAATGACTTCCCACATCATCTTATCCACCTCCATATACTCATCGTAGAGACGTAGCTAAATCCCAATGATTAATACTCACTCAATCTTAATTTCTTTCCAATTTCCCTCCTTCTCGCATTAGCATTAGCGCGTTCGGAAGGTCTCGTAGTTGAATCGTCTAGACCTTCACCTCTTGCTTTGAGAGCTTGGAGTAGCATGCCTGCGTCGAAGAATCCATCTACGATTGTATATTAGTTTGACTCCTTTGTTTGTGTGAAGAACATCGAAATGGCAATTAAGAAAGGGAAGAAATAAAAAGAGAAACATACATCCACCTAATCCCTCATCATCACTAACAGCCGCACTCTCATCAGCCGGCGTCATCGTCCCGGGTGTTCTCTTACCCAACTCCGCAGCTCTAATAACTCTTCCTCTACTCTTCAACTTCTTCCCCGCAGTGGGTCTATTAGCACTAGCTTCTCTCGCTCTACTAGCCTTTGGACTTGTGCCTCTTCTCGTAGATTTTAACACCCTCCTAATTTCGAGCAAATAACTCTCAAGAGCATCTACAAAGCGTTTTGTTTGACGATGCTTACTGCTAGCACATATACTAATCCCCTCATCCTTAATAATATATCCAATTCCAAACCCGTCACCGGAAGTAGGACCGAATCCGAATTGGCGAAGTGATGGATTACCGCAATTGGATGTTGAGAGGACAGTTGTGTTGAGTTTATCCCAACCGCTGTCTGCGAAAAGAAGAGGCATGGAATGGTTCGATGATCCCGGGCTGGAATTGCCTCGAGCGCGGGATGAGCGACGCTCGACTTCATTACCATCACTCAATATTGAATTCCGGCCTGGGCTCCCAACTATAGAGTTGTCTCTAGATGAACCTGTTTCAACGGGGCTGGAGTATCCATTGCTGCTCAGTCCATTACTACTAGCAGCCTCTGCGCCATCTTCGTCAACTGCTTTTTGCCATACACTGAATAGAGCATACAAGTGGCGATCGCATCCTTGGGCTTTCGCGCATTCCTTCGTATTAGCTGTATGTTTCTGGCAAGCTTTCTTCAACGCCTCAACCTTTTGTTCTGGAGGATTTTCAGCCCAAAATTTCTGTACGAAATCGACTGATTCAGGCGTAACGGATCGTATAGCTTCAGTTCTTCCATGAAGAAAGACTTTCGTCATCGCTGGCTCATAGGTACATTCAACCCTACCATATAAACCATAATATGCGGCCTGGAATGCCATCTGCACGAAAGCATCTGGAGAAAATCCCATACTCGTCATGAAATTCTTTCCATAAGCTGCGAAATCGAGGGTTTGGAATTCATTTTGTTGAATGAGATCTGCAAGACGAGTTTCCGCAAAACGAACGGCAATACTAAGTTCGGGGATCATATCCCATTCTAGTTTGTGAGGAGTAGTGCTTACATCTCCAAAACTAGCCGGATCACGCTTAGCTGGATCTGGACTGTTCGATGCCCAGAGACTAGGCGCCTGTCCATTGATTGTACGGGCGAAACGGAGGATTGTGTCTGTATACACATCGCTTGCAAATCGAAGAACGGTATGTCCATCTACACCAGTATGTTCAAAATTGATACCTGCACTGCCATTTTTGCAGACGATAATTTGTAATTTGTCGTACCAACGATTCGTGCATGTTCCGATTTGAACACCCTTCTCAACTTGACTAGTTCCACAGAGCATGTTTTGACATAAATCTGCCTGGGAATTGGGCTCTGCATAATCCAGGCAGAGTATAAATAAGGCAGAATCTACTATTCCAAGACAATCTGCATTATTTGATCCTTCTTCTCTGGTCATAACGTCTCTAAGACCTGACCAGATTTTTCTATTCTCAGTACTGAGAACACCAAGTGCACCTTTAGCGGCATCTTGTATAGGAGTTTGTTGCGCATCATCGACGATTGTTTGTAAATTAATCGAGACGTCTCTTTCAGTCATGATTAGATCCGAATTGTCATCAAGAACATCAAACCAGTAAAATTGTCCATGACAAAGTACTACAAGATGCTTTGATTCTGGATCTTGTCCAATGTGGCATCCATTCTCAGTAGGCACACGTGCGGTGCCGAATAATCTCGAGTATTGATACATGCAGAGAGGCGTGCCTCTTACTGTGTCGGGAGGTAACTCTTCTCTTCTAACTGCGCGTACGAAAGACAATGCAGATATCACTAATGAGGCTGCACGAGTTACTTGGTTGTTTCTTGCAGGTGTCGGATCATCCTCAAGTAAGAAAAATGGGTTGAGGTTTAGAACCACAGGGTTGTCAAAGTTGAGGTATGAGTCGTACCCTAGATGTTTTATTAGCATGGTAGTCACGGTGAACCCCTAAGCATTAAACATACAAAACTGCTCAATATAACTAGTCTTTCCATTTGCATACTTCTTCAGTCTCTCGTGAAGTTCCGGTCCATCGTTTTTCATAAATTCTTCCACTGCTTGTTTAGTTTCTGCATGCTCTCTTGGTGACTGTAATGGCTTTAAAGCTGCTAGATATTTCGTCATGCTGCCGTCCAACTCTGGTATTGGTAGCTTTGGTAACTTGTCTTGTGCGGCAAAAGTAATTCCTTGCTCATGTTTTGGCTGATTGCTAGCAAGAGGATCTCTTTGGTCCTTTGAATAGCCATCGTTGACCTTCTTTGCTCCTTCCATTGATCGATTTGCGTCTGGTGCAGCATCGGCAGGAGATTCCCCTAATGTAATCAGGGATTCATTTAAAGATTTAGGCATCCTGAACGTACGGACAGCTGTTGTTGAGGTAGACATCTTGGTTAGCCTAAACCCTAAGTTTATGCGTATAATGGAGAAATAGAAGTGCAAATATTCAATCCTCGCAGTGCTGTGCGATAGAAATAATGGCAATCGTAAAGGCAATAAGACGGCATTACATTGGATACATCAAATTCTCTGCGGGGGAAAGTATCTTATGAGAGAGAAACGGTTCCCACGGTAAGCAGCTACCAACAGCCTTGGTTATATCTAGAGGTAGTGCACTATCATGGAGCAATGATTGGAATTCCATATCCCCGCAATTGGCCTTCTGCATTGGTTCGCGTAGAATATCATTGGACAACTTGATCCGGCCATATGGCCCATGCAGGATACAGGTCTCCACTTCCGTACACTAGTTAGGATGATATTCCGAGCTTATATGATATCCGCAACGCCGAAGCTCTGATATCTTGGCACTGAAGTCCAAATAACCGTGGAGAGAGACGATAGGGAGTATGAAGGCAGTAAAGCTTTGCATACCTTGTGCTTTAAATTCCTTTTTGAATGAGTATATTCGTCTCCAGAAATTTTCCTAGTGGTAGGAGGACTTCAGTCGGTAAGGAGGAAGAGATCGTTACACGATGCAAGTGCAAGCATAAGAAGTTTGTGTAAATGATACTCTATTTTCAAACACGGAACCAGGCCCGATGGATGTCGTCGTCAACGTCTGAGCATGTGAAAGAGGCGTGGGTCGGAAATCGCGAATATTCCACAATCCTAGAGAAAATCTTGAGTGTGATCAGTATTCTGGAACAAAGGAATTCGATAATGCAAGTAGCTCAAAACGTTCGGTCAGTTCGGTCAAGCGGATGAGAAAGAGTGGGTGTGGTTCGTAGGCTTCAAGAATATCTAAAATACGTTGCGAGATGACACTGGGCAATGCGAGTTTCCCCGTTCCGTTCTTGCGGATTGATGGAGATGATCGAATGGGGTAGATGTTAGGGCTTGAGGAACGTCGAGAAGTGGGGTGTCAAAAGGCTGAAGCCTCGTTATCCCGTGGTACGTACTTTTGTAAATTGTTGTGCCTTTGAAAGATACCTTCCAAATTCATCAGTTTGCAGGATTCGATGCAGTCAGGACAATTATTCCTATCGAGTTGTTTTTGAAGATGGATCAGAAGTATCTTGATAGATGTTTTGAGTGGTTTCACGAGATGTAATACTATAATCTATGAACGTATTTGAGAAATGATTCATGTCATGTGCATACCCAAATCTGACGGCTTGAACAACAATGAGGTAATTATAATGATTTATGTCATATCCAACAATATTCAAGCAATTATGGGATAAAATACGAAAAATAATCTTATTTGAAATCGAGCACGAATCTCAAGCTCTATCTACCAATGGATCTATCTAGCTTATATACTTATTTTAGTACATGCACCTTCGTAATTCGTCTAGATCCCCAAGATCCTTAAAATCCATTACCATGGCTGTGGCCGCACCGAACTATCACCCTCGGCCCGTGATCTTGTTTCCTTCGGAACCAATGCTCCGTCAGAGTCACGTGATATAATGGGTTATAGTCATCTTCCCCGAGACCGTAAGTATATAGGGGAGTTGGAATTTTGGAAGGTTCGGAAGAACACTCGAAGTCGTAGCCATCAAATGTTTCGTATACAAATTTATTGGCCTAGAGATTGTATTTCACGGCCAGCTGTACTTAAAATGGCGCGATACGCATCCAGATACGAGTCATTGCATAAATAACGAAGCACTGAGGATATAGTCACCCGGCAAAGATAAACTTTCAGTGGTATCTAATATCTCATCCTGTCTTGCTTCTCTCTGTTCCACCTTTCCTATAGGACAACAGTTGTCGATTGTCGATTGGAGTTGGAGGGGATCAATGCAATATGATAGTCATCGCAATTCGCCGCTTCTTAGGTCTCCTCATATCCACAAGCCTGAGCATTTTATCCCTTTGTATACGAACTACTTGCACCTTCACCAAAGATAAGGTAGAGAGGGAGCTTATAGCACTCAAGTTCCAACTCCGAAGTACTATCCAAGAATGCTTCTTCCACATCTTTTATCTTTCTCTTCTCTGAGCAGCCCTTACTTAAACTTACTTAGATTCGACCCGAACCAAGACAAATACCTTTGAACAAGATGTCAATCATAATTTCTATCAAAAGGATCACAAAGTCGTTGCTATCCCACAAGGTCGTCGAGGCAGGAACGACACGAAAATGTATCGCAATTTCCTTCATCATCGAATTTACGACTATCATAATAAGGATCAAGCCTTTGCCGAAATCGAGGTAGCAAGATGCCATAGCAAAACTGGATTCGAAACCAAGTTGCAGATCGGTGGGTTTGTTAGGAATGCTGTGGGAGAAGAGATAATCAAGAACCTAGTAGAGGAGGAATGGGACTTTACAGAGCGACCGATTGCATTGCTTGAAGACCTGGCATCACACAAGATAAAGTCTGCTAAAATGGCTTTTACAGCTTGGAAATTACTTAAATCATTCTTTAGCACAATAATTCGGTTAACCAAAAGTTGATACAACTAGAAACAAAAGAGATTTCTATAATCAGGAATTATATCAATGAGACTCCAAAGCTATAAGATACTTTAAACGCATTTGAACTTATAATACACAAAGCATTTCAGGCCAGAGAATTATTCTACAAATTAGAGAGGAAAGCACAATTACTCACTGAGCGGTTTAAACCGTGAGTTATAGATTGTATGATGTATTAGACTCGACTAACGAACCAGTCTAACATAAAAGCCAAACTACGATTGGTTTTGGGAAGACTATCCTCAGATCGTTGCTATTGGTATCGTCTTTCAACTGAAATTCTGAAGTTAATATTTGAAGAGGCTTTCCGGCTTGTTTCACCAAAGACTATGGAAAGACTTCCAACATTGGATCATATGCTTCGAACCTGGATGCTCAACAAATATACTTTGGAATATACTATACATATTTACCAATACTTCAGATCCTTCAACTTTTCTTTCGCACAACCATTCTACATATCATATCCATAGATACATGTTATAACACACATTATGATTGATTAGCAATACAACTCTATCAAAGACATTGAATCGCTTGATCATAATTGTGAGAAAGTATTAAAATCAGATCACTTAGTGTGGTTAAGTTGTTTAAAGCGATACAAGTCACTACAAAAACTAAATATCCTCACTGGAATGCAACAAACAGTTAGTGAAAATGACTTGACAGATATGCCTTTTCCCATTCTGTCATCGTCGCTAAGAGAAGTTAATATCGTTTACGAATGGGGAGAGGGTAAACAGTGCAGGAGTGAAGAGCATGCGACAATGTACGAGAAGTGGAAGCAAACATATGAGAGGTTGAAGATGTTTTTAACTCGATGTTCAAGTTTGTGGGCTAGACTCAAGATTTCTACCTCGGTTATACAAAAACAGTGTTTCATCGATGTCCTAAACAACAAAGCTTAGTAGGATATCTCGGTGGAGGTACATAGTATTACAGAAGGGATTCGAGAGGTGGCAAGAGAGTTAACAGCTGTTGTACAACTTTATATCGAGGCAGGAAATCGGGCAGATGATGATAGACAATAATTGTGCTTGAAAAAGATCCATTAATAAGTGGCTTTACCGGTCCGAAAGATTAAACGAACAGTTTTTAGTTTATGTTTCCATCTTGGTATAGGTTTTCCATAGATATGGTTTTCCCTGTAGTCTCGTGCAAATGCAAAGATATTTTGTTCGATGTAAAATGATAGTATGTGCCTGTAACTTCCCTCTACAGTAGTGAAGTTTACCAAGTTTCTCGGAATCTTTATTGAAGTTTATTCAGATGCTGTGACACAAGTCATTCCTCGTTGCGTATTCCTCACATAAGCCTTCCTCCGCAAGGTACGATACTATTTTGGAAAGATGGAGAGTATCGGTTTTGATTCAGCCTTTATTATCCTGTTAAGACCATCTCAGTTCAGTGAAGGTTAGTTTATATAACCGATGTGGCGAGTATCATTCCTTCCTTCAATCCGGATTCTATAAATGCTTGTCCAGGTAAGACCTATAGAGAAACTTTCTTAGACTTTATAAATCACCAGGTAGTCAAACAGGGCCCTCAATCGGTCTATTCTGGTCTTCCACTACACATTTTTCTTGCCCAGTGACTCGCAACTTATTACGCCCTGTTTCTGCATTACCAAGTTCTTTCAAACATGTTCCTGAGACCTATCCTTCTTACTCTGCATTCTATGCTTATACTCGAAACCAAAGCTCTCTATGCAGAACTTGAATATTCAAGATGAGACGCCTTCAGTGACCGAAGACAATTCTATGGTGGATTCACGAGAGTTGGAGAATTTGGAAGACAATAGATCCATTCTCAATTCCCAGCAAACATCGGAGCGTACGCCAAAGCGCAAAACAGATCAACCTGAGATGGATAACCAACTGACGCCTTCTTCGCCGGAGAATCCCATTTCCGCGACTCATAGACCACAGCCTCAGCTCTCGATGACCACAACGGTGTATCCACCTAGGTCTGCCACTGTTGCATCGTGGGCTGATGGATTACCGCTTCAGCCCACAAACCAGCTTTGGGACGACTCTAATGTTTATGTTCCTCATTGGTCCGCTTCCTGTGAGTCTTTCCTGACCAAATATCAGCTACCCGCTAACCATTCAAAACCCAATATATCTACAAGCGTCCCACCGTATTTGTTCAAATATCTGGGCATCAAAGCTTGGACCGAAGAAAGCAGCCAGTCAGAGATCATTCTCTCATTTGTTGTCGTCTTATCAGCATGTATATCACAATGGAGGATGCTCAGTATAATACCAACGACAACTGACGACAAGAACGGGGTATTTGAGACCCAGAAAGGAGTACGAGATATGCTATATAGCCTATTCCGTGAAAGAGACAGGCTGCAGAAGATGTACAGTGTTCGACCAACCTCTGACTATAGGACACGGCTCTTTCTTTCATCGTACCTTGGCCAGGAAGTCGTAGTGAAGTAAAAAGATGACGGGTTTGAATGGACAGAAAAGATCCGTGAAGTTTGGCCGAATACCAAAGGCATGAGCGACAAAGGCCGTGTCAACCTTGATGGTTGGAACCAAAAGGAGAAAACTCTTTACAGTCCATGGTTGAGTGTGCAAGATTATGGATTGTGGTGGGAAGTGGAGGTGATTGGTGGGTGGAAGGATTTTGATACTCTATTTCCTCTCACAGATTATGAGGCTGCTGCTTGAGCTGGGGCTTTAGGGTTTTCGTTTGTCGTTTTCAGTTTCATTGCCATTTTATTGCGATTTTTGTCCTGGATCAATTCAACATCGATGGCGTAACAAAACTTCAAGAGACGTTACCCTCTTTCGAGACTGATGGATTGTTTTGGGCGAGCTCGCCAATCGCGGGGTTTGTTATGCGAATTGTGGTGGGTACATACGGGGCCGATAGCACAGATACCTAGGTTGTCAAATATACCGAGTGTTGATATATGGTCTGGTACAGGCTGCCATGATAGCCTTCTCGACTTACATCTGCTCTGCCTCTATCCTGCCAATTTGATGTTCAATGCTCATATAAGGGAGATAGCGAAGAATAAAGCGCAGATAAGCAAGAACCTGAGCCGAGACATCAGCATTAAGCATTACAAGATGAAGAAGAAATGGAAATCTCACTGCCTTGTTACCCTTGGGATCTTTGGAAAATTCCACAAGCTGTAGTACCGGCTGACGGCACCACCAAGGAATCGACTCACAGACCCCTGCCGCCAGTTGTCGTCCATTCACCATATACAAAGCCCTCTTGCCCTCGATCCTAGAATTCGTACATTTCATGCAAGGGAAAGCATTCGTTTCAAACACCATTAGGGGCTTATCCTGGCGAGGGCGAGCAGCTCGCTTGCCATACTTGGAAGATGAATGTATTCCAATAGCACCAGCCTTACCTGTCTCAACTTCATCCTTATCTTATCCCTCGTCTTCTTCTTCCTCCTCTCCCTCATCCGTATTATCGACCCTATAGTCAGGCGCAGAGTCACTCATATTCTTCTCAACATCACCCTCCCCACGATCGGACAACCCTATGCTGGGACCATCAGCAGGAGCCTCAACAAGAAACTTCTTTCAGGGAAGCACCACCTGCACATGCTGCCGCTTCAGCCTATATTTGCTCGTAATAGACCCAGATACCGACCCGGTACCAGATCCCGTCATATGTCCATGAACTTGCCCCAGTAGAGGAAGCACACCCTGAGTGTGCAGATTGAAGTCTCCTCGGAGTCATCGGCAAATTAGGCACCTCGATTGTACGAGCTGGAGGCTGATTGAGCGCCATGGCTGCTCGCTGTGCCTCACAATGCCGTTCCTCTTCGTGTACCTTATCAATCCTATCAGTCCCTATCGGTGACAGGATCAGAAAGGAATACTCACCGGATTTTTGTGTTTACTTATACGCTGATAGAAAGCCCTCGAAGCTATCAAATTCGTCGCGCCACTCTGTAGGGCTTGAGGACTCAGGCGACTCAGGTCGTCGATCAACCATCCCGAAGCGTAAAACGTGATATATCGCAAGAATTAATCGTAGGATAAAACTATGGGCAGGTAGGTTGTCGTATATATAGGTAAGCAACCAGAGAATTTATTGTCTGTTGGATCAGGGTGTACTCATAGTGTGTGAAAAAAGTGAATAACTTTAATTCAATTATTATTATAGTAAGGCTATTGTAATAACCGTTATTCCTACTACATGCATATCCCTGCTATGTGCACGATTTTGAAAATATCGATATTATAACTTTAAATATTGATAATATACCTATAGAGGCTTGTATAGAGCTTATATTAGATCATTTGAAAAGGGATTGAGCCCCTAATTATACTAAGACAGCTAATTTCTTTAAAATCGATTGATCTATACTCTCCTAGTAGCATAGAAATAAAACCACTTCAAGAAAACAATTCCTTTTTAATATAAAACAAGCACTTTCTAGTAATCAAAAGAAAATTTTAATTAATCAAATCAACAAGCTAATATAAAGATTTATTCTTTTTACAAATTATATAGTTAGAAATCTTATAAAAAAGATTCTAGGCAAAAAAATAGAAAAAAACTAGACTAGCAATTTTGTTAAAAAACATTCAAAGTGTCTTAAAAATCGATATTTCCATTATATTAATAATTTATATATAAAAGCTGATAATATTGCTATATTTGATTACTTTTATAATCTGATTTGAGCTATTTTATATTATTATTGATTTTTATTATCTAAAATATTCTTACTAATATCCCTCTTTTTTTGATTTAGTTAATAAAAGTAATTATAAAATACAATATTCAATCGAAACATATATACAACTGGGATGAGAAGTATCACGGATTGTACTCAATCACAATACAATCGCTCATGTGTATGTATACGCATATATATAATCATATATACATAACTAGTATATAGAAGCGCTTTACAAGTGCTTTGCTTTCGATTCTATAATTATAGATTCTAAGAATAAATTATACTCTGCTCTTGTAGTTCTTTTAAAGCAAAGTATTATATTATCTATAATTTACTATATGATTATATAGTCATTTAGTAATTAATCAAATAATATCTTATAATCTAATATCTTTTTAAATGAATTATATAAATTCGATATTATTTATAAAAAAAAGATCTATTCCAAATAATTCTCAACAAAAATAATTTATTAATGAATATATAAGTTATAAATACTATTACTATATCTATATCTATTGATTTTAATATTAATTTATTTGTATTAATATCTAGTATACAACAATCCTTAGTTAGCTTATTTGTTTAATTCGATTAAGAGTAGATTTATATAAGTAATAATAATATCATCTTTAGATTTGATATTAATCTTAATAGGAAGAGAAAGAATAAGGAAAGGGGAATTATTTATTAACCTCGAAATAATATTATTCAAATCAATACTTAAATACAATTAATTATAGATTAAATATAAGTATTCAAATTTTTATAGAAACAAATTACTAGATTACAAATATAAGTTAATAATATTCAAAGTATTATTAGTTTGTTTTATATTATCTCTTAGTAATCTTATATATCTTTTTTTAAGAAAAACAGAGTTTGGATTTCTAATATTTCTATAAGATCTATTAAGTAGAATGTTTTTACACCTAGAAAAAAGAAAAATCGTTTTTAAGAATATACCTTGAAATAATCTTATTCTTATTTAGAAAAGAATATTCACTCAATAGTAATTACATCTAATTATAATTTACTATTTTATCAAATATTCTATTTTCGTTTTGATATTATTTTTATAAAAAAACTATACATTTCGAAATCTATTAATCTTTTATTAAAACTTAAAAATAATATAAAATCAAAAGTAGATTTATAGTAACTATTAATTATAGAATAATTAAAGTTATATACAATATTGTTTATCTTGGAATTACAATATTAATCTTATATAATAGATTAGATAAAAGAAGAAGTTTAATAATATTTATATTCTTTATATATTCAAATCCCTCTTTTAATAGAATTACAATTAATTAATAAGTTTATAACAATTTATAAAAATCCTATCGAAATCAATTATATATAAATTGAATATAAATACTAGATTATACCTAATAATACCTAAAAAGGTAACTTTATATTATAATATCAGAAGTTCCAATTGTTTACTATATAAACGGAAATCACTAATAATAAAACTCTCTTTTGCGATTTAAAAAGAAAAATATCTGATTTCCTTTAATAAGCTATTAATCTTTATATCAAAGATTATACTATTATCAAAAACCTTATTAATAAGCTTATAGAAATTAATAAACTTAAAGTTATTATTCGAGAATATAATCATTACAAACAAATTAAAGAAACTTTAAACAAAAAAGTTATTAATAATACTTTTATACAAAGTATACTTAAAGATACTTTCTGTATACCTAACAACTCTATCCCATTTCCTTAATCTCATTCCCAAAATCCTTTTCGCATTTCAAATGACTATACAAGAATCTTTAGATTAAATATTACTTTATTTCTAGAAAACAATTTCAATTGTAATATTACATCTCTCTTATCAGAAGCTAATTATAATTCGATTTTATATATAAATAATTCTAGTATTATAGTTGAAATTGAAAAAACTAAAGAGAATAAAGATTCCCATAAAGATTTCTATAATATCAAAAAAGATTTGAATTTAGAAATATAAATAGAAACTATTAAATCTATTTGTAATATCAAAGACTAATATTTAAATCAATATACTTAAATAGAAATTCTTTTTTAAATATAATTCGGAATATAAGATTTCTTGATTTGATAAAATTAATGGGAAATAACTTTATAAATCTACTCTACATACTTTTGAAAAATAAATATTTATTTCAAATTTAATCTTTTATAAACTTTAAAACAAATGATTTTGTTTTTATTAACAAGATACTCCTTATATTATTATTTCCTATATTTAAATCTTATTATTTATTATTTAATCCTTCTATTAAAATCAAAAGCTATAATAGTATAAGAGATAAAGCAATTATTTATTATATATTTCTTAATTTTATTATTAATATTCAATAATAATTCTATCTATTATTTCTTATTATTAATTTAAGATTATATAATATGATTTTAGACTATATATAGCTAATAGAGATTTAAGTTAAGATAAATTGTTTTAATCAAAGTTTTAATTAGTCTACAAAGCGTCCTTCTATTATTTTATTATTAAAAAATATATCTTTAACTAAAAATAATCTTCAAAACTATAGAATTAATTGTTTAAAACAGAAAAATATAAATAATTGGAATATCTAATTAAATCAAATATACTACTAATTGAATAGTAAACAGTAGAGTATAATAATGATTATACTAGAAATATTTATTATATTTTTAAAAGAAATTAATATAATAGAAATAATATCCATCAAAATTTAGATTTTAATTAACCTAAAAAAGAAATCTACTCTCAATCAAATATTTATTCAAATAATATACAAATCTCTTTCTTTTTGTATTTTCAATATATTCAATATTTGTATACTTAAGCTAACCCAATTTTAATTTATTTATAAAAGAAATAGAAATTACAAGATCTTTATAATTATTTATATAGAAATTGATAATATTATTTCACTTTACAAATTTAATTAAAAAAAAGACTATTATATCTCAAATGTAATTTCTATTTTGAAAAGTTTGAAACTAGAAATTTTAGTCACTTTCAAT